CAGGCTATCTCAGGCTGTTCCGCACCGACTACCGGGGACTGACTAGCTACAGTAGCTAAAAACTTATATACCAAGGTGCGGAGCTGGACTTCTAAATCACTGAGCCTCGCCTCCATGTCTACAAATAAACTACACTTGTTACACGTACCACTACTGCTAAAGGAGGCAGAGGAGTAACTGAACATCTGACACGCCAAGCAGGAGAAAGTAGGAGAGGGAGAAGGAGAAGCCATTGCTAGCTGCTAGGCTAAAGTACAGTAGCGTTGGCTACCAAAACTTTTGAAAACAACTATGAGATTAAACAGCAGTCACTAAAAGATGGAAAGAACTGTGGGCTGGGATCATTTCCTCTGTCTTTGTTATTCTCTGCGTTGTTGTTGTTGTTCTGCTTCTGAGGATGAACGGAACGATCCGTAAGTTAGAAAACAACATGTGAAGTCCAGGAGGACTCTGAAAAAGGAAGATTACCAGTGATACTGATTTATTTTCTATGGTTTTAAATGTTTAACATATGTTGCTTTATGTGCACAGACATTTTAACGACGCCAAACGGATCTGAAATGAAAAAGGTGAACACCCAAGCAGCAGAGGAGGACCTGGAGGGGTTACGTGAAGTTAAGTGAAGTGTGAAGAATATAAAAGGAGGGTAATCTTTAAGTCATATATTTTTATGGTTTTAATAGGCCTATAGGGTATTGATCAACTTAATTATGAAAGTTATGTTTGCTGAGAAGTTGGGATAAAAAAAAAGTAAATTTTTGTTAGTACGATGTCTTTGTTTCCTCTGTAAATCAAACTATGTGCAATAGTTTCCTCCTCACAATCACAAAACAGGCATGTGTTGAATGGTTGGTAAGAAATTCCATATTAGCTTTCTTAAACAGAAACTCCTTAAAGGCTGCCTTTCGCCCAATGGCAGCTGGGATTGGCTCCAGCCCCCTGCGATCCTGTACGGAGTAGGCTACATCTTCAAACTGCCTCTCCAACTTTGCTTGTAATCCCAACAATCATTGAACAAATGGCGCCATCTATTGGACAAAACCGACTACAACCAATTCTCACTATGATGGTGGACGTTTGTGTAAATAATTGTTGTGTAGCAGAAGTGACAGGGTCAATTTACAGCAGGGGGCTTCTGTGTAATTAATATGTACGTTTGTCTGCAGTTCAGCATTTAATATATAGAATCGTGGGTGAAATCTTTAAATAGTCCTCATGAGGTCTCCACAGTGGAGTCTGAACGCTGCTGCTCTCTAGACGCACTAAGCCTCCTCCCGCTCTCTGTAGGTCTGTGGTACCCAGTGCAGGTTGTCCCAAAAACCTTTTTTATTTTTTTTATTGAAATTTAAAACACAAAACAGTCGGAGGCTGCTGTATAAGAAGAGAACATACATACAATAACACAGGAAGGACATAGCGTAATAAAACATAAATAAAAGTCAAAGTAATATATCATCTGTCCAAAAGAACTTTGTCAAACACACAGTTAGTTTGGATTGCCTTCTTGTTCTTAACGTTTTTAATTGTGGTGCTATACTGATGCAGTTCTTAGAGAAAGTGTCCAAAGTGTGGTTTGGAGTCAGACAATTTTTTCTTGTGGATGTGGAATTTCCCCAATACTATTACCAACTGTACAAATAAATTACTTCTTTTTCCTTCTCGTTTCTTTCAAAACATATGGAGAATGTCATTTTCCTGAAGTTGAAACGTTTGTCCAGTTTTCCTTTTCATATAAAGTTCAACATCCCACCAAAACATTCTACAGTATATACATAGACAAATTGATTCTTCATGGAATTGACAGAAAGTGCAAGAATACTCAATCTAAATCTCTCAAACATCTTTTTTTACCAGATATATACGATGTAATATCTTAAAGGAAACCTCTTTTACTGTTGCTAAGACAGAATTTGTCTACAATAAGCCACATTTTCTGCCAATTAATTTCTCCATAAAGTGAAGTCCAGAAGAGTTATACATTGTATGCAGTTCCTGATATATTTATTTGAACATTTATGTTTAGTAATGTAAATTTCTCCAAGGAATATACTACTATTAATTGGTTGGATCATTGAGACCTCAATAGCCGAACCTCTAAGAAGTTACAGCACACTCCTTGGCACAGCATCAAAAACCACTGCAAATTCTTTTGGCATAACTGGTAAACTGAATTCAGAAGGAATTCCTCATAAGTTAGTAACTGCCCATTAGCATTGACAAGCTGTTTAACTAATACAACACCATTGGCAACCCATGTTTCATAATATAGTGATTTATATTTATGTTGAATATTCTTGTTGTTCCAAATGTAGTAATTAGTTGGTGAAAAATTATGCTTGTAAATTAACTTCCAAGTCAGCAGAGCTTGTTTATGAAAATTTGATGACTTTACAGGAAATTTATCAATTTCAGGTGTGGTGCTGCCACACCTGAGCGGACTTGTGCACTCGGAAGAAAGACTTGCCACCAGCAACACGTCGCTGACAGTTTGAGGCGATGCGTTCTTGCTTGTATTGCGCAATAACTCAAGCAAAGTGAGTTTACACGTTTTCCCACAGTGTGTCCCACGGCCTCATCGTAGCCTACTCCTCCCAGGGGGGAGGATAAAAGGGCATAGAAAGAAGAAAAAGAAAGCATAGACTGTAACTGTGAGAACACAACAGACGCCTCAACATAAAGCCTAATGGAAGTTCCTGGATCGCTGGGCCTAAGTATTTTACTGTTTGCAGTAACTGTCACAGGTACGTTCTTGTTCTCTCCTTACTGATTTAATATTATTTATGTTTACTGTAGGCTCCATGTTTAGAGCTGATGTCAGAATTAGGCCTATAATCTTGTATGAGATGTGTTTATCGGCTTAATTGCCGAGAATTCATCCTGAAATATTGCATGCATCATTGCATTGCAACGATGTGAAGTGAGCTTCAGTCTAATGCGTTTGTGAAAACCGAAATCTATGATTTGTAGTTGCTACAGCCCAGACATTTTATGTTCAGTCCGACTGTCTTGAGCCTGTTTCTGATCATTGGTCTCAAACACTTAATGCACCACATTGCTTTTTAAATATAGGCTACTATTTAGGCTTATTTGAGCGGTAGACTTTTTCCCTCTGAAGTTATAGTCTACTGAGAGGAGCAGCTCATGCAGATAAAGTTGGATCTGTTGCAAATAGCCTAACGGATTTTGATCAAGGAGAGGCTCGGTCCAATGAAAATTAACAAAAATATTTAATTAAAAAAATTAGTGAATACAGAGATAACATTACAGAACAAACAAAAACACTGCAGTGGACTGAAGAAGCTTCTCTGTAAAGATCTGAAGTTTCCAGTCACCAAATAGCCTACTGCCGCACAGCAGTAGACCGGGAAGTTGCTTTGACTCACTGATTCAAAGCTGACAGTCCCGATTGTATCAAAATATGTTGTTAATATCCTACGGGTATGTTCCGGTCCTTTTTCCTCCAAATGGCTCAGGACCATAGCCAATGGTCGTTTGGTTACGTCTTCGTCACCCAATTAGGATATGAACAATGTGTTATCTGTCATCTGTTGTTTTATTCTCCTATGTTTTTTAACATTGTTTTTTTTTTATTGGTGTTTTTATACAGCCTACTTTCACTTGCATGTTCGCAATAAAGATTTCAAAAAACAATGGTTTAATTAACATTCTGCAATTGTCTGGCCTAAAAACCTGCAGTTTTACATATGAAGGAACAGTACATTAAGTTTGTTGTAACTTTTTAAAACAACAGGTCTGGGGTCTGTACCACGAAGTAGGATTTGAGCTTATCCAGGTAACTCCGGGTTAATCCTGGGTTTTCAGCATCACGAAGGTGGTTGACTTCTTACTGGCGTAGATCACCATGGTAACTTATGCTGAAGGGCTAACCTGCTCCGGAAGTTATGTTCCAGATAAGAGATCAACTCTATGAAAATGCCGCCTACTGACTATCAGCTCTCTTGGAAAATGACATCACCATCGGAAAATCCCACAGACTCTTTCAGCCAACAAGCTGCTTTATGTTTGCAGCGGTGATTTGGAGAAACTCTTGGCTATACCGATATCATCCTACAGAGACTGATTGAAAGCCTTAGGCTATATTGCCTACAGGTTTTTACAGTAGGCTGAGCCTATTGACTGCTTTGAAATGTGTTTAATATTTGCTCCCAGTTCGTTTCACATACCCTGACGCAGCCGTTAAAATAAATAGGCCTAGGTTTTATTTTTCTTATGTGAGGCTGAATATTATGAGCAGTTTGGTAGGGATATTGAAATACTAAATTTTAATATGAACGTGGGCTATCTATTTAGGCTACACTGTAAAAAAGGATTGGATCAATAAGTTATAGTAACTTCTTTCTATAATTTAACTCCACTTAACATAATAAGTTATGAAATTTCAACTTAATTTAATGAGTTATCACTATCACAACTCAGGTTTGTAAGCCAGTTCAGTGAAATGTAAATTTCAATGTGTCAACTTAATTTATAAGTGTGAGTTGGAATATGGTAACCGGATCTCTTAAAAAGTGACCATGACCCCGGTGTGGCGACAGTATTAATGCGCGGTGCAAATAGTCCTGAATATTTTCTCTTGATCTGATATACGACTAATAACTATGCTGATTGATTTTTGTAACACATTAATGAGGCGCACCACCCAATTGCAATTCCCCATTGAGAGAAGAAGAGGAACACAAATTAAGCCTACTGACAATGGAGAGCAGATAAGTAGCGGATGAATACGTTATTTTCCAGCAAGATCTGGATGAGACTTGGCAGCGGAAAAGCGGGTCTTTTCGGATTGGAGCAAGAGAAGCAAGGTGAGTCTGTCATTTATAATAATTGTAACACAATTCAATGAGTCAATTAACTTAGTTATGAAGAAACGAATTGCTGTCATGAGACTTTCTGAACACGGGATAGTTCAGAGCAGCTTATTAATGCATGTAACGTTAGTGTTCAACAGTGAACCCAACTTTACAGTGTTTAACGTTAGTCCGAATGTCACTTTTTACTTTTATTAAGAAGAAACACAATCTTTTATGACATTCACCCCTCAAAAAAGGACATTTATGGCGCTTGGTAGTTGTTTGAATGTTTGAGTTAGCTGCTTTACTAGAGCCTCTGTGTGTAACTTAGTGTCAGTAATTAGCCTTGGCCCGTCCCAACGATGTGTGGAGTAGCGTCGACGTTTCAGTAATTAGCCGTGACTCGTAACGTTACCAACGTTGTTTCAGTAATTAGCCATGGCCTGTTCCAACGATGTGGGTGGAGAGGCGTCGGCATTTCAGAAATTAGCCTTGACCAGGTGAGTTGCTACTTAAATTAAAGTTAGCTGCTTCAGCAAAATTAAGAGGATTTGGGCTTTCTTAACATTGTTAGCTAATCTGTGACGAGTTTCTTTTGCAATGTTATTCGCTTATTAGTGAGTTTGTACTCAGCTCCAGCTTAACCTGCCAATTTAAAAGAAAAAATAGCGGGAGGAAGGTAGACTTTACTGGCGCCATCGTGTGTTTCACTGTCTGAGCTGAGCAGGTGAAGATAGCATTAGTTGATTTTGACTCTTTTTTTGAAAGAGTGCAGTGACATTAAAACGGCAGCCTCTGATCCACCACATCTGTTTTAACAGGCAGTGGCGAGTGGTTAGATAGTGTTTCCCCCAATTTATTTGTGGCGTCCCGCCACAATATCAACGCAGACTGCCACATATTGATTTTCGTTTTTTTTTACTAGGCCTGTTTAAAATCTAAATCTAATCCCGCCCCTCTCCCTCATGAACACAGCAAAAGAAGAGGTTATAGTAAACATTTATACTTAAAACTATGTATTTTTATCTCTTTTCAGGTAAAAGTAGTCTACAATGCTGCTGCGTGTCATCATATCAGAAAATGAAGACATCCCATCCAGTGTTGAGGAGCTGTATCAGGTGTTGCGAACAAAGCTTGGTCTGAGAGGTGGATTCATTTTGCAATTTGAGGATCCTGAGTTCAATAATCAGTTGTGCAACCTAACAGACATCAAAGACCTTCCTGTGGAGTGGGCAACTGTGAAAGTGTTGTTCACAGCTGATGACGTCTCAGATTCTACACTGGACACTTGCAGCCTTCCTTCTCTTAGTAGAGATTGTGTTGAATGGCCTGACCCCTTCCCGATTCCACAGTTCTCACATGATGTGGAGCTGCAGCTGAAAGAAGCCAATGCTAAGGATGGATCTGTAATGGTGATTCCTAAAGGTTTAAAGACATTCTTGATATACTGGCCGACAGTATGTTCAAGATTAGTGCTTATCCTGAGAGGCATCACTATGAAAATGAAGCCAAAGCACTTGTGGAGAAGCATCCTAGTCTGAAGGAGCCAGGGTCGGAAAAGGAATGGTACTCGTGGTTTCACAGCCTGAAATTTAAGCTTGGAAACTATCGGCAAAAGTTAAGTGCAGCAGGATGCCCTGAGGTGGTGGTAAAGAAAAGGAGAAGGTTCGAAGGGGAAAGTGTAAAGAAGTCAAAGAAGGGTGAGGTCAACTACTGTCCAGATCCGCCTGAAGGACAGAGTCCTGAAAACATGGAGGAGAAGCGTAATATTATGGAGGCTGAAATGCTGAAAAGAGACCCTGATCCCCAGCTGGTAGAAGACCTGATGGTTGCTACGTTTTCCCAGCGTAGAAAAGAGATAATTGGAGATCAGCCACTCATCACAGAAGTCATTTCCAGATGGCCAGCTCTGTTGCATGAGAGACAGGTACTCAGTTGAGAGATAGAAGCACGTTTTGTCTGATACTGTGTCTTGTTCATAATTATGTTTGACTTATATTTTCTATCTGTCTCTTCTCAGATCAGGACAGAGTTCAAGAGAATGGTCACCAAAGACCTTCTGGAATATTTTCTCGACAGACGTGATGGCCTGGTCCCAAGACTGCTAGAGGTGTACAAAGCAGCAATCAAGACTGGAAAGAAGCAATCACTCAAAGATATTTTGGACTGCCTTCAGAAAGATGTAAGTGGAGAGCAGATCATAAAATTAGGCAAAATGTATTATCTTGGCTAAAACATTTTCAACTTACTGCATGTTTCTTTTTCTTGTAGGATACAAATGAGAAGAGAAGGACTGCTGCCTTGCTTGGTCTGCCACACTACATATCAGGCGAAGATCCATCAACTGTAGTCAGGATGTGTGACGTAAGACCATTATGATTTCTGTAACGCAAAACTGTTAGTGTGTATATGGGTGATTCTTTTACTGTGGGACTTTTTTTTTCAAGAAAGAAAAATACTTCACACCCCAACCCAGACTTATTAACGTTGCCTGTCTAATAGTCATGAAAACTCATTCAATTCATTCAAACTTTACTTTGCATTTTCTCATAACTTAAATGATAGATTTCAATTCATGTGGTTTATAATGTGTAATTTACACTTTTTTTTCCTTTATATGGCTGTTCCAGTCACTCATCTTTTGGAGAACAATTTTAAAACATTTGCTAAAGTGCTTCAGTGTCTGAACTATTTCTGTCTCACTTCCAAGGGTTGAAATTCTGAAAATGAATTGATAGTTGGTGTTACTGATCAGGTTCAGTCTATTTGGGGAACAACTAAAGGGTGTGACTTTCCTGCTCTATATTTGAGGATTATGATTGCATTTTAAATTAGTCTTTTAAAGCCTATATAATTGTAGACTAAAACAGTCACACACTGTCTCTGCTTTTCAAGGCTTACAGGGAGACTCTGGATGAAACCATGAAGGGGATGCAACTTGGCCTGCTGATAGGCTATGAAGGTGCTGAACGGGAGGCCTTTCCACGGGAGGTCTTCGAGATAGCTGTTGTGGTTGAGGAGACGACATTAAAGATGTGGCATGCAGCTTTGCCATGCTCATGGGTGTCATCTACTGTGTCAATCTCGAGTACCCAGAAGCCATGAAGTATTCCTTTGAGTTTCTTCAGAGAGTGGTGATGAAGATAAAACCAGACCAAGCATGTGCCCGCGTACATGGACTAAGAAACAGAATCCTGAGGTACAGACTGTAACACCTGCTCCTCATTTTCTCAAGATTCTCATGTGGATATTGTTCCTGTCAAGACTTCATTGTTCTCTTTTATATGCACTTTCAGCACTGTTCTGTACTGTGGAAAAACAGCACTGTCTCACAATTTAAAACTTAATTTTGAGAATGATAGAGGGGACAAAACACTGATCCTCCCCACTTTTTTATTGGACGGATTGTGAGAGCTGATAGTCTCGACTGTTCGAAGTCTTGTGATGTTAGAAGTGGAGTACTTAAGACAACACAAACCAGCCTCAAAGTTCTTTATCTTCAATGGAACAAGACTGTAATGGACTTGGACATTTGAGTTTTGTGCATTTCCTTTTCAATATTACTACTCATTAGTCACCATGTTGTAGAAATCACAAGCATTTTACTGATTACAGCTGATGGTATCAACTGTTCTCTCCTCAGACAGACGTTTTTCTTTGTTTTTTGATTGTTAAATGCAGTTGCAGGCAAACGGTCTCAAGGTTTATATCATCTCATTTAAATGAACTGATTGGTATAAGAGTTGGTTGGGTTGACCTCGCTCTTCATAGGTGACTATGTTTAAATACTGTTAGAACATGTTAAATTATCATAAATATGGTCTCACTTTGGCACTTGTGTAGTCTGAGATAAATGTTTTCATTGGCTTTTAGGCTTGTTGCGTCAATTACAAGTGTATCTGAAGGAGACGAAGGCTGTGAGTTGAGGTACTTACAATAAATTGTTGAATACGTGAATTGTAAGTTCATTCATTGTACTCTTAAGAAACTGGTGAACTTACCATTATTAGTTGAGATAGGGGATGGAAATTAAAAACACAAGTCTACTTAATTTGAAATTATAAGTTCAATTGCTGCCTTAAAAACATGAGTTAACCTAACTTCAAAAGGCAATTGGTATGAATATAGTCAATTATCTTAACTTAAAAATGTGAGTTGAAAGGGTATAGACTTGCATGTTTGTTTGACAAAAAAGATTAAGTTTCATTGACTAGACAATGTAATACAGATAGTTGGTTTAACTCACAGTATCAAGTTGAAACAATAAATGATCATTCATTAAACAACTTCCTTAACTTAACTTACAGAGTTGAAATAGCTTAGATTTGTATGTTTGTTTGACAAAAGAAAGCAAGTTTCTTTGAATGAACAATGTAATATAGGTAGTTGGTTTAACTCACTGTATCAAGTTGAAACAATAAATGATCATTAATTACACAACTTGCGGAAGGTAACACCATGAGTTAAAATAAAGCTTTTGTTAAAGTTGAGTTTACTCACATTTTTAAGGCAGCAATTGAACTTAAGTTTTAAGTTAAACTACCTTGATAATTTTTACAGTGTAGTATAGCTTTCAAAGGCCTACCACAGAGACTGTAGTCATGTTCCTCCCCACCTGAGTTTTCAGCAGCATAAATGTTGAGATTCAGTCTTTCAGCCGCTATTTGAGCACATTTCATGGCATGAATGGAGCTTCGTTTCATTGCTTTATGAAGTTAATTTAGAACAATGTTTGAAACACTTTTGAGTGTGTTAAATAAATTAATCTCATTTTTGAAGTGACGACAAGTTTTTTTTAAAGTGAGGTGGAACGACCCTTTTAATGTGGAAACGCCGACACAGCAGAGCTGAAAGAATAAGGCTGATATTTTCACAGGCTAGGCCACAGCTCATAAAAGTCAACGCAATATTATAGACTACTGTTCATTTCTGTCCCCTGCATGTGTCAGCTGCAGGCGTGCTACTGTCGTATTTCTGTAGTGTTACAGTTTAATCCTCGTTCATAAAATATGACGCTCCTCTGACAGTGGACTTGTTCGTGTCTGTGATTGGTCATCTGCTGCTAACACCGCCTCTTTTATGTGATGTCAATCCAGCCGGGAGCGCGTTCACAGACTGGTCTTTAAACATTGTATATTGTAAGAAGTCGACCATTGCGACAACTTTGATTTCAGTCATCGGGAGTTCTGGCCTGAGTGGAGGCGGAGGATCCAGCTACAGAACGGCGACCGAGCTCGACAAAGACGAGGAAGTGCTTGCGTGGACCGTGTTGGTTTCACACCGTGGTGAAGTTAGCTTTAAGTTGGATATTCGACAGACATTCACCCAGGATCCAGTGACGGCTTTTTAGTCAGTTCACCCAGTGACGGTTGTGTAAGTGCGGTTAGCTCACCTCTGATGGCTCGCTTTTAACCAACGGGGATTAGCTTAGGGACCATCAATAAATTACAATTGTGAGAACAGTGTTATGGGAGAATCATTATTTATTTCAATAGCTTCCAATTCATGTGACACAGGGATTTCAAACCAATGCCGAATTTAGTACTACACTAGGCAAATGAGACACACCCCTTCATATTTGATTTGAGTGCATTTTTTATTTTATATGAATATTTATTCATAATTTATGTAAAATAATGCCTTTTTTTTTCAATAGCGTCCAAGTCATGTGACACAGGGATTTCAAACCAATGCCGAATTGTAGTACTATACTAGGCAAATGAGACACACCCCTTCATATTTGATTTGAGAGCATATTCGACTTTATATTATTTATTCATAATTTATGTAAAATAATGCCTTTTTTTTTCAATAGCGTCCAAGTCATGTGACACAGGGACTTCAAACCAATGCCGAATTGTAGTACTATACTAGGCAAATGAGACACACCCCTTCATATTTGATTTGAGTGCATTTTTTATTTTATATGAATATTTATTTATATTTTTTCTTCAATAGATTCCATTTCAAATGATTCAGGGACTCAAAACCAATGCCGAATAGTACTACTACATTTTCATGTCATTTTCTTCCACAGCATTGAGCAGATTTCAAAGAAACACTTTATTTACACAACGGACATTCCCAGTTTCCTTTCTTTGCCTCTTCATATTGTGTGCTGTCCATTTCCACACACTGAGCATGGAACCACCGTTCACAGCCATCACACTGGACCTGTGGAATTAAAATAAATCTTTCGTAACATATTTATTTATATATATATATTTATTTCAATGTCTGTTGCTTAGATGTAGAGCGGTTGTCCACTACATGGAAGATATATGCCCCCTCTGTATTTGCTCAGAAGGCTGTGCCATTGTTGTGTGAGTGTGTGTGAACGAGTATTAGTTTCTTTCTCATCAGCAGTTGGCACCTTGCATTTATTTCTCTGCCATCGTTGTATGAATGTGTGTGTGAATGGGTGACTTATTTTTTTATTTAGTGTAAAGTGCTTTGAGTGGTTTATTACAAACCAAGGTGTGTATACAAATCGGTTTGACCTTTGTGTTAGTTGACTTTTCCTCAGCCATACTCAAGTAGGTCTACAACACAATTAAACATGATATCACTGAAAAGTCAACTAACACAAAGGTCAAACCGATTTGTATACACACCTTGGTTTGAACAGAGGCATTTGTTAAAAATGTTCTGAAAAATAGCTTGCAACAAGCGATGTTAAACAACAAATGTAAGTGTTATGAGAAAGTTTTTTGGCATAAGAAAACATGCAATGCAATGTAAATATAGAGAAATCAGATCTGCATTATCCCAAAAAAACTACTTAAGCTAAAAACAAAACAATTTACTGATTACTGCATTATACTAAATTATATTTTTGTATTTTGAATTGTCACCTGCTACCTGAATTTTGTGTTCCGCTTTAAATAAATGAATACATTTCCACTATAATTTGGTGCAAAGAAATGTCTCCAAAATGCAGGAAATTAAGTGTTTAATACTCATAATCTTTATGTATTTTCATCAATGAATATTTCTTTAAATAGTATTAAAATATCTTCTAGTCTTGTTCTTGTGACCCCAATATTCTGGATTGTCACGTCTCTATGCTAAGTGTTTTGTCACAACTCTTATCTGAGCCCTTTAATGTCCCCACCACTTTTCGGCTCAAAGTGACGCCCTTTCCCACCTGTAACCTTCATCGGCTGTTAAAGTCTTTGCAGTGTTGATAACACACAGCCTAAGCAGTCCTTCAGAATGCTCTCTATGTACATGCATACTGTATGTATTAGTGAGTGTAGTGATGCTTATGGGACGTCGCTCTGGGACGGGTGAGTATGAGGCTGGGAGGGAAAAATCACAATATACTCACTAGAAAAACTAAACTACACCAATGCTTTGGTGGCATCCCCACTTCATTTAAACTTTGAGGGCAAGTGGATTTGTGGCTTTTGCAGAAACCAGGCTGTTCTTCAGAGGCTTTCAAACTGTTTAAATATAATGTTTGTTTCCTCAGGAGAGCCTCCTGCCATGTACCAGCTCAGCTGATAAAGGCAGCAGAAGGTGATGATGTGACTCTTCAGTGTCGTCTGGATCCTCCGGTCAACCTGTCTGCTTTCACAGTGGACTGGACGAGACTTGACAACAAGGATATCGTCCACGTCTATCGACATCAACAGGACGATCCTGATCCACAGACGGATCAATACAGAAGCAGGACGACTCTCCTCCATGAAGACCTGATCAGAGGAGTCCTGACTCTGCACATCTCCTCAGTGAAGCTGTCTGACAGAGGACCTTACAAAGGCTTTGTCCCAAAGCTGAAGACCAGCTGTGTTGTTGACCTCATTGTTGGTGAGCATGCTGAGTTTAATACTGTTCAGGTTCATTTAATTCAAAGTGTATATAACGTTGTTCCTAAATTAGACCTCTCTCATTAGAAACGGTGGGAAAAGACCAGCAGAACGAGACAAAGAGAGATTATTCCAGCACAACTGGACCTCCAGAGGAAGAAGAGACCGAGCCAGACGGTCGTGGTAAATGTCTTGGAATATTTCTTTCTTTGTCCAACTTTATTCTCTCTGAGTGCAAGATGATCTGCTGTGTGGAAATGTGCAGCAGGTCTGAACATTTAATGTGAGCATTTTTACACAATTAACACATCAAGTTTTGGACAGTTTTGGTTTTATGTGATTTTTTTTTAAATACAATTTTAGCACAACAAATAAAATACATTTTTGCCAGTGACAGCTTGACAAGTGTCAACATTATGGAAAGGATCCCTACAGAGAAACTGAGATCCTCTCTGTTTAACTAGAAACAGTCACTAAATCGCTCTTGTCAAAGCCACCAGACTCCATTCATAAAAACAGTAAGTTTACTCCATTACGGGAGTATCAATGTTTGAAAAAAGGTTAGTGTAAATGAAACACCACTAAATGTAACCGTCATCTCAGTGGCTTTTTGCTTTTAAGAAAACCAGAGCAAATTAAAACCACATTTACTCAGGCTGAAATGTGAGACATGAATTTGTTCTTTACCTATTTCCTCAGCAGGTAAAAACCAACAAACACCTTCTTCCTTTAACTAGTGTCACAAACTACTTTTCTTTCTCTCAGAGAAGTGTATGAAAAGGCTCGGAGGATGGAAAGAGCAAAAAACAATAAACCACGGTTATGCTGCGCGATCATGCGCAGTAGACGCTGGTGCTAACAGGAAGTGGCCCTGTAGTAGTATTTTATTTGTCCAAAACTGGCTTCACTGCTCTCCATTCAAATCAGCGGGGTGGCTTCGTCCAGTAATATACTGTCTATGCTTCTAACCAGCATACTTTATTTTAAGTCCAGCATGCATCACATTACACCTATAGACTATAGGTGCGTTTGACATGCAGCGCTGCACAAACCGTCACCATGTCATGGCAGCTGCACAAAGTTGGAACTGCACTTTTGCCTGGTCTCAGATCACCGTAAGCTCACGCAGGTAGACTGCGTCTGAATTGACGGCACCGTTTTTAAACCCCGCCACTGCAGTCGCCTGCAGCTCACGTTGGACTATGAAGTCGGTGAGAGTCAGCCGCCATCATCTCGAACGCACCTTTCTATGAAGGAGTCACTGGCGGACATCTGCAGAGAATTAGGATCTGCAGTTTTTCAGCCATGCGTGTCAATGTTCTTATTTCCCGTTCGATCGTCACTACAGCATCATTAAGATCTGTGGATTATGGGTTGCTCTGGATAATTAGGATTACTACTTGTCCTCCACTGTATTGTGGTGAGGCAGATGTCTTGGGGACAGAAATCTGAAAAACCAGGACAAATAAAACCATCAGTGTGGTTGAACACCACTACAAGTAATGAGAAAATGCTGCATGAGCTGTACACCAAACATGAATTAGTGAAATAAGTAAATAAATAGTGGAATAAATATCATAATGAGTCTGTGCTGGTTCTCAATTCAGTATCCTCTGATATCTCCTCCAGATGGTGGAAACAGAGAGACTGCCCGCGCTGTTATCATTTCCACTGTTGTCCTTCTTTTTGGAGTTCTGATTGTGGTTCTGGTGAAACGTGAACGATCCGTAAGTTACAGAACAAACTCTCCCCCACTGACTTTTAGTATCAGTTAAAGACCTGCTGTGTGAGCGGGTTTGTTGCTGTTAGAAACTACAGGAGCTGAGATTAAAGAATAGGAAATATTTTGATTAATAGCGTTGTAAACATTTTTAATAAAGTTTAAATAAACTTGTTTCCATGTTCTCAGAAAAAAGTATGACGAGGCTCAGAGGACAGGGGGAGCAAAAGTCGGAGGCGGCAAACGGCTGTGAGCTGAAACATCTGAGGACTTCATCAACAAACAGTGACCCCGATGCAGGCAACTTGAACAATGTGCAAGTAGTAAAGTGATGGCCCAAACCATCAGGTCATTTTCTTTAAAGAATATATTTGTTTAATTGTCAGCCCTCCAAAAATCAGCAACCTTTCATCCTTTTAATATTAATCGTGTCTGTTGCTCTTATCCATAAATTCATGTACATGAGGGACGGTGCTATACACAAGAACAAAGATTGAAAGATACCAAAGTAACCTTATAATAACCTTAACACCTTCATGACTGCCTATCAAAGAGTATAGAAGGCAACAAGGTAATTCAAAGTGTTTTAACTAAAACATAAAAGCCACATAGAGAAATATAAAGTTATCAAACTAATGTTAAAAGTCAATTAGAAATTTAAAACGGGACAGTTCAAGTTATTAATCTACAGCATTGTTTGGTTTAATTAGTGGCAGTGATAAAAGAAAAGTCTTCAGTCTTGATTTTAAAAGAACTGAAAGTTTCAGCAGACCTGCAGTTTTCTGGGAGTTTGTTCCAGATATGGAGAATAGAAATTGAACACTGCTTCTCCAGGTTTAGTTTTGACAGACAGGAAGCCAGTGTAAAGACCTCAGAACTGGACTGATCCACTTTTCTGGTCTTAGTGAGGACTCGAATCAGCTGCAGCTGTCTGATTCAGGTTTTAGGGAGATCTGTAAAGACACCGTTACAGCAGTCGAGTCGTTTTGAAGATAAATGTATAGACACGTTTTTCCAGGTCCTGCTGAGACATAAGTCCTTTAATCCTTGAAATATTATTCAGGTGATAGTAGGCTCACCTAGTCTTTATGTGGCTGCTGAAATTCAGAAGCTTCATTGTCTCCTTTGTGCTTCGCTTCTGTTACAAACTGGGTGGGTGGCGATGGCGCAATGGATATGACTATGCCTTTCGAGTGAGAGACCCGCGTTCAATCCCCTGTGTTTGACCCATACACCAATGTGTCTCTGGGCAAGACACTTAACCACTAGTTGCTCCAGAGGTGTGCGAATGCTGACATGTATAGCAATCGCTTTGGATAAAAGCGTCAGCTAAATGAATAAATGTAAACTGGATGTCTAAACATTTCCTTCATCTCAATTCTGATAAAACTGACGTCCTCGTGATCGGCCCTGATGGTTTCACTAAGAAGTTCAGGCACTTTATTGGCCCCCTCACTATCAACATCAAGACCACCTGGTACTTTTTTTCTTCTTCATGCATTTGAACTGTGAACCCCTCATCACTACACTCGTTCAGTAAACCAAACCTACATTTTAAGCCAAACACATGAAACTTCTTGTGCTCATCCTAATCTGTTCTTGTTTAGACTGGAACTTCTCTTTACCTTCATTGCACTCTGCTGAAACTCTACAGGTTGGCCTTTTATAAAACACTGTTTGCCTTAAGTTTTGTTTATTGTGCTTTAATCATTCTGTGTATCATGTGTAATGTATGTGTTAATATATGGTTGGTGATGTATGTGTATTTGCATTTGTGTATCCTATCTGTGAAGCACTTTGTTACTGTCTTAAAAAGCTTTATATAAATTAAGAATAAAATAATTATTATTGGACTCCCAGCAGCTTTTATATAGTAAGTTTAATTTGTTTCTCTCAAGGTGGTGGTTTTAGCTCCCTACAGGTGACACAAACTGTTGCATGAGGTCTTCCATCACCTACTGGCTTTTAAAGCAAAATGCGATTTGGTAGTATATTTTTGTACTGTTTCAACACTATGAATCACTTTCCCTTGAGTTTTAAATTAAATGTGCAATATCCATAAAGTCATCATCATTTTGTCCCTCCTTGGTCTTCATATCTCTGGGACAACGATTAAATCCACTTGAATGGTTTGTAAGAAAACCTCAAGTCTTGACTAAGTAGTAGTAGTAGGTTCTTTTGTAGTCAAATAATCACATCTGAATACTTGGCATCCGTAACAAGTGTCATTTTTTTTTTAAATATAATACTTTCGATGGTTTTATTCTAATGGTGCTTTCCGACCAAACGCGAATCTTCGCCTCGCGACGCTTTCCTCGCGTGAGTACATTCACTACCATACCTTCCCGCCGCCCAACAGGAAATCGCGGCTCTACGCGTCTTTGCATTGACTTTGTATGTAAAATCACTGCCCGAACGCTCACTTCGCTTCACTTTGGCCCCACCTTCAGACTAAACTGATTTTAGTAAAATGTGAAATAGGTCCTACTCCTAAATTCTGCATCAGAGACGTCTGCAAAAGCAAAGAAGTTATAGGTAGTGAATTGTACTCAGTACATCAATACTCATTCTGCGGGTATCACAGTTAAACATGAAGATCTGCTGTAGCTTTCAGCTGTAAGTGTCTAAATAGTTTTGTGTAGCCTCGTTTAAACTTCATCCAAGCATATTTTGTTTTTCTGTGTGAAATCTGAGTCTGAAGATTACAGCTGTCTGATGAAAATACAGTGAAGTACAAAAATGCCTTTTCTAATGAAGAAAAGTATAGTTTCAAAAAATGCAAATACTTGTGTGAAATAGTAATCTAAAAATATTCAGTGCTTGTAAGAAGTATTAACCACGGTGGAACATGTTTTATTGTATCAAAGCAGATTGAAAGTCACAGTGAAAACAGAACAACAGAATGATCAAAATGTTTAACAAACATAAAATACATGTTGTATTCACAGCCTTTAACAGGACAGACCTAAATCAACACAGGTGCAGACAGTCTGTTTCAGAAGTCACGTCATTAAGTGGAGATCACCTGTGTGCAGCCATATGGGCGAGTTCAATCTCAAAACGTTTTGCACCGGTTTGCAATGTTTTCAGATTGAACGGCATGTTTCCTTGAAACGTTGCGCAACGTTCTGCAACAGGCTTCGAGGTATGTTTGCTCCCGTTTGGTGGGCGTTAAACAGCCAGAAAAATGCAGTGTGCTTGCTACACAACAGGGTGTTCAGGGGACCACCGTTTCCGTTGAAAAGAACGTTTAGCTACGTTTTGTCTGCGCTGAACTCGCCCTGGTTTCAGCTGATTGTAGTATAAACACACCTGAACCTGGACGGTCGTTTTCATGTAACAGTGTTGAAAAGGGTCAGAGTATCTGTAGATAATCCGTAATTTGTTTGTAATACAAAAACGAAAAACCAACTAAAACGGTCCGTTTTTCGTTTTTTGGTCATTCATTTTATCGTTATTCCTTTTGGAACAAATAATGAAGAGAGTCTGTGAAGGTCTGGGTATCTGTGGATAATCTGTAATTCAAAAACGAAAATACCTTTTTTCTGTTTTTTGTTTCAAAAACCAAATAACCGTTTTTGGTGTCAGAATCAAAAAACGAAAAAAATTTTTTTAATCGTCCCGTTTTTCGCTTTTGGCTTTTTATTTTATTGTTATTCATTTTTGAACAAAGAATGAAGAGAGTCTCTGAACTTCAGTCAACTTGTTTTTCGTTATAAACCAAAAACGGAAGTCACGTGGTCTTTTCCTTTTATGGAAGTGAAAGCAACCGGTAAAATCTTCAAAATAAAAGTAGCCCATGTGACATCTATTAGAAAGGTGATTTTAGACTAAAACTAAACTAAAATAAAGTTTTTTTTAGTAAAACTAAAGTAGAGTACAGCACTGTTAATGTGTTTCTATCTTTATCCTTGCAGACATGCTGCAGCATTAAGACAGTGTGAGGGACGTGTGTGGACAGATTGATTCAATGCTGTGTGTTGCTTGTTTTGTGGGACATGCTTGATATGTTAAAAGGAAGAGAAGTCCTGCTCTGAGTCTGCTGGTTTGTATCAGATGTGAGAAAATGTCATTAGAAGTTGCTTTTGGTATTCTGTGATGTGACACAGGGAATATCCAGAAGGTTTTTCTTCTGAGGTGTTTGTGAATGAATGACTTAATGTCCAAATAAAGCTTTGTGTTCATCTGACTGATGGCTCCTCAGATTGTTAACTGGCAGTAAAGGCTGCTCTGTAGAAGACTGAACAATGTGCTCAGACTTTTTCATCTGTTTAGGGGAGTTTGGCCCCGGTCCCCTTTAGTAAAAAGACAAACAAAAAAACTACCGTGTTTGAGTATTGACAGCTAGCTGCTTTATAACTCTGATAAAACTAAATATTAACCGATGGTTCGAGTTTGATAACAAGTCTAGCTGTTTAAATTTAAGCTTGTTATGTGAATTAGTTAGCCTGTGTGGTTATCCATTTTCTTGTTGTGATGGTAGGCTTTCGGCCTGGTAATGCCACAATCTAGTCTCACTCTCTCTTAATGCATTGTGTCGCAGTGTGGTCAGGGAGCAGATTTTGGATGGTAGGCCTCGAGGATGATGTATAATTGTTTTAACTTTAGTGAACACTTTTTAAATTGTTTTTATAACAGGCATTTTAAGCCACCAAGACCCTGTAGACTGCATGGCCTGTTTTGCCTGAGTTCACCACAGAGGCGGCCGTGGAGGTTGATACCCTGAGTTGCCTTAAACATCTGCTCCTTGAATGAGGTGGAGTCAGAGCTGGTGGATGATTTACTGCATTAGTTGAGGGTTGTATAGCCGCTGCTGTTTTGCTGCCTGATCTGCTGAACTGCTGATTTTTGTGCCCTGATTTTAAATGTAGATTTAAAATCAGAGCTTTTTATGAGACTCTGTTACAGGTGGATGGGCCCTGTGAATGTTTTTGCTAGGTTCTGCTAAGGGTGGGGCAGTTTGCTTGTTTTTGGTCTGCGTGACTTCCCTCAGCCCTTCTCCCTCTTCTTCCAGTGTTCTGACAGGGTGGTGGACTGTGGGAGCCCCTCTTCCCTTCACTGCATGTTGTGGTGTGTGTGGACCTTTAACTGAGCCTTATTGTGTGGGGTTTTATGTGTGTGACTTGCTGTCTTTAGGTGGTGACGCACACCTGTGGTGGGTGGTGTCAGGTCATCCTGGTGGCAATTTTGCTTTGGTAACAGTTTGCTTTTATCCTTCAGCATCTCTGCAGCATGTGTGATGTGATAATGTGAAGACTCTTGGATCTGAACGCTCGACATGGGCCCACAAGTGTTGTAGCTTTTTAACTAAATCTCCATCTGTTCACTGCAGAGGCTCTAACCACAACCTGGAGAAGGAACTAGAGTAAATGACTACTGGTGTAATTTAACCTTAACATTATTTACACTTACAGATTTTCTTCACTAACCCACTGTGCTTGTAAATCATTTCTGGGCATATGTGAGTGAAAGCGTTGCACTGCAGAGCCCTGCTTCACTGTACTATTGTACATACTAGCCTGCTGTATATGATATAAATGTGTATTAAAAGACAGAAGTTGACATCATCCTTATTTACAAAAACAGTGCCCAATTACAAGGTGTGGTTCCCATAAATCGTTAATTCAAGACTTGGGCCAGATAAGAAAGCTTGAACTCTTACCAACATTTTTATTATCAACAAAAACAGACACCAATTAGACCACAAAAGTTCCACCGGAGTGTGTCAGAGATCGGTGCAAAATAGAGTCCCATCTGTTACCAGAACAGAGTCCACATGAAAACCATGTAACGACTGACTTTCACCTTCTTTTGGACCTCCTTTTATAGCTCTGTTTCTTGGCTTCACATCATCTCTTGGCTCTCTTTCCTGCTGCACCTGAATCTGGGAAAGTCCCTGACTGCCTGCTCCTCCTCTCTGTGTCCTCTGCATGAACTCTGCTTGATCATGCCATTTCATCCATAACCTGACTTTTGTGGAATAAACTGGTGTTGTTTGTGCTCTGTGCCAGAAACAGGACATTCTTACTGTGATGGACTATATTAATGTATGTTTTGTAATACAATTTGCACAAAATCTACTTCTATATTTTCCTTTGCAGGTGTTTTTGATGCTGCCTCACTGTGCTCCCTCCCTTTTCTCCCAAAGCACACGAACTTGCTCACACACACACACATGTGCCTGGGCAGTTAGATACAAAAAGGAGCACATACACTCAGAGCTGTAGAGTTTTAACACTGTGATCCTAATTTTACACTATAAAATAACACTTTAAATGATGACAATGTAGACCACCATTGCTCCAGTAATTAATTATAAAAATTTAGGCTATAATGCTCCAAAATAATTCACAACAAGGAAGGAGTGGTGTTCTGATTTGTCCTGCCAGTCCAGCATTTATCTGAACAGAGAGTGATGGTAGGTGATGGGGCCTTGATACTATCATCAGTCCTCAAACCTGCACAGGCTCACACCCTCCAGGTACTGGGGAAAATCTGGGAGGTCCTGAGATGAGTACCAGGGAGAAAAACTAAATGATTCAACTTCACTTTTATTTTACTTTACACAAGTACAAACAGGACAGATCACGGCCTTTATCTAGTTCAAACAGAATTAAACCCAAAAAAGCATTAAAAGATCTGAAAGCCCGGGAGCTATTAATGCTCACCAGGTTTCACACATAAGTATGCCTAACTTATGAGAACTACAAGCTGCATTAAAAATATTTAATCTACTTAACATAAGTAGTTTACACAGGCGAAAATAGGAAAGGAAAATAAGTTTAGAACTCGGCAGAGTTGTTTTGGAAGAGTTTTGTTCTGACTCATAACAGCAGATGGTGGAAGCTGAGAGTTTTTAGCAGCTCCACAGAAAGAAGCTGGAGGAAGGTGAAGTTCTGCACACCCTTCAAGCTCAGTGATCAGCTTCCTCTGGTCGCAGTGCAGCCTTCTCTGTGATAGAAACACAAGTCAAAAAGTCAAAAGCTTGTTGGCTGTTGGCGCCACAGAAGGACTCGTGCACAGAAGGGGGCAGAGTGCCCTCTGCTGGTGGAGCTCACACACAGCATGAAGGCTTAAAATATTATATGTTATATGTGTTCAGAAACTAACAAAGTGCTGTTTAAAAATTCCTCAGTGTTTTCATCAGGGAAAAGAATCTGAAATCCACCTGGAATTAATTACTTTATTTTGAGCAGAGACGAAATTATATTGTGTAGCTTATGTTTACTTACTAGTTGATGTAAATAATTACATTAAAATGTATAATGGATTCACTACATGTGGCATTTAGATACTCACATTTTATTACAAAATGCATTTTATCTGAATTGTGAAGATAAATAAACAATAACAAATATGAGTGAGCTCATTACAGAACAGTAACTCGTAGGGATTTTCAACACCCTCATTACTGTCATGACCCTCATGACTCAGGTAATGACTCAGGTAGTTAATGACACTATGCAAATGAGCACTTCCAGCGAGCAGACGGGCACCTGGACAGACTGACCTCAAACTGTGAAACCAGGCTGAGCTGATCAAATGTGAATCCAGATTCTGTTTCTGCGCTGCTTATTTCTCGCCTCAAATGTTTTCTGAAACATATTTTAGTGTGCTGTTTAGCTCTAATATGAGAGAGTTTCTGACACGGCCGCCATGTTGAAAACGGACAATCCACACATAAGCACCGCCCAAAGTTGCAATTTCGACCAATAAGGTCCGGTCATCCACCAGGCGGTTCATTGGCTGGTCGCTGGGTCTGGATGCTTCCGCTGTTCTTTCCGACCTCGACCACGACAAACATTGTCACTGTTCTGTTCCTCATCAGTGAGTGACAGGAGACAGTTTTCTCCTCCGCACTTCACTTCATCAGACACTCTGGACGCTCATCTGTGAGGCAGTGAGATGACAGGACATTTTACTCTGCATTGACCTGAATATGGAAGGAATACTTCTAAAGATTATTTTACTGTTTGCGGTAACTGTCACCGGTAAGTTTGTTGTTCGCTCCTTACTGATTTAATATTTTTTTATTGGCAGCATGCTTTGAACAGCCTCTCCGGGGACTTTGCTGAGAAGCAATATATAAATATTGCATGGATGAAATGTGTTAAACCTGAGAAAGTTAAACTTCATTGTAATGGCTTTTTCCAAGACTAGAACTACTTTAGAGCACCTGGGTAAGATACAGAGTCCAGTAACTTTGTATTTACATGTGACTGCACTAGTGTGTGTGTGTGTGTGTGTGTGTAATATATATATATATATATAATGATGATGAGAGGCTATTAATAAAGCACATAAGTATTTACTTCCATAATGCTGGGGAAGAGGAGGTGTGTGAAGTTGAATCAAGCGAATAAGCTTGACTCTGCATCAAATATTATTTCAACGTTATTTATTACTTATTTTCATTATTGTTACATAACACAACAGTGTGGACACACAAGCTGAGCTGTTCTTATGAGGCAGAGTTTAAACACCTGAACTTGCATCGCAAACATTTTAAATGCTGCAAAGATGGCTGTTCTTCAGAGGCTTTCAAACTGTCTAAATATAATGTTTGTTTCCTCAGGAGAGCCTCCTGCCATGTACCAGGCTCAGCCGATAAAGGCAGCAGAAGGTGATGATGTGACTCTTCAGTGTCGTCTGGATCCTCCCGTCAACCTGTCTGCTTTCACTGTGGACTGGACGAGACTTGACAACAAGGATATCGTCCACGTCTATCGACATCAACAGGACGATCCTGATCCACAGACGGATCAATACAGAGGCAGGACGACTCTCCTCCATGAAGACCTGATCAGAGGAGTCCTGACTCTGCACATCTCCTCAGTGAAGCTGTCTGACAGAGGACTTTACAAAGGCTTTGTCCCAAAGCTGAAGACCAGCTGTGTTGTTGACCTCATTGTTGGTGAGCATGCTGAGTTTAATACTGTTCAGGTTCATTTAATTCAAAGTGTATATAACGTTGTTCCTAAATTAGACCTCTCTCATTAGAAACGGTGGGAAAAGACCAGCAGAACGAGACAAAGAGAGATGATTCCAGCACAACTGGATCTCCAGAGGAAGAAGAGACCGAGCCAGACGGTCGTGGTAAATGTCTTTGAATATTTCTTTCTTTGTTCAACTTTATCCTCTGAGTGCAAGATGATCTGCTGTGTGGAAATGTGCAGCAGGTCTGAACATTTAATGTGAGCATTTTTACACAATTAACACATCAAGTTTTGGACAGTTTAATGTGCTGATGTTTTCTTTTAATCAATTTTTTTAATGCTGTGAGCACCACAAATGAAATTCACCTCCACTGTATCAAGGTGACGGAAATTTCGGACCCTGGGAAAATTAAACCAAAATCTATTTATATGTCCATGTGTTAAAATTCCCCACACATATGACCTTGAACCTGCCCTTCTTCCAAACTCAGCATCTTCTCTGAAATCTTTTCAGGTGGTGGAAACAAGATCGCTGGTCGTGCTGGGATCATTTCCTCCGTCATTCTCTGCGTTGTTGTTGTTGTTCTGCTTCTGAGGAAGAACGGAACGATCCGTAAGTTACAACATTTCATATCAATGGTGTTTCAGGGTTTAACACAACAAACACAAAATAACCGATCAAGGCAGCTGGAGACAAGGGAGGAAAAATTTAAATTTTTCTCAAGGGGGTCTGGTTGCTTTGACGAGAGCGATATAGTGACTGTTTCTAGTTAACCGAAAACTGTCTATCTCTTTAGGTGCACTGTGTTCTAATTGGCTTTTTGCTATGATTGCAGCTTAAAACCACATTTATTCAGGCTGAGATGTGAAAGGTGTATTTATTTCCTCTGCAGTTAACATCTTCTTCCTTTAACAAGTGTCACAAACTGCTTTTCTTTCTCTCCGAGTGTATGAGGACGCTCGGAGGAAGGAGGGAGCAAAAACCAGAGACAAACAAAATATGAATAAAAAACCAAAGTTTTCAAATATTCAGGTCAAATATTTATACAGGAGAACATCAATCAACTTCTATACATCGATAAAATAAACAGTCCAGACTCCTGGGCCCAAATATGCAAAATAATATTCTACCTGTGAAACATTAGCATCAGTTGACATTGTCATTGTAAGTGTGTTAGCATGCTGTTAGCATTTAATGTTGGGTGTTCCTAATAAACTGGCAACTGTGTAGAGTGTAGAAGCCCTCTTGCTCCAGAGCAGCGTTCAGTTTTTATTCTCCATTTATCTGGAACAAACTCCCAGAAAACTGCAGGTCTGCCTAAACTCTCAGTTCTTTTAAATCAAGACTTTTCCTTTTACCACTGCCTTTAATTTTTTATTAATCAAATTTAATGCTGTAAATTAATAACCTACACTGCACTGTAACTTGTATTTCATTTTTATCCTGTTTTTATTTTCTTTTCAAGTCTTTTAAAACTTATATTTCAATGTCCTTTTATATTCCCTTATGTTACTTTTATGTTTTATGTAATGCACTTTGAATTGCCTTGTTTTTGTGATCTACAAATAAACTTGCCTGGCCTTATTGTTCTGTTATTGTAATTTGTCATTCACTTTTTATCTGTTTTAAGTATGTAACTCAGCCCTAAAGGGGATTTAATGACCATTATAGGTCTTTAGTTTGTAGAAACAGTCATATTTTGACAGGAGTCTGGCGCTAAACAGACCGATGTAACAAAACAACTCTTAAGTTCCCGGGAATATTATATTCCGCCAAATTATTCTTCTATTGAAACTCGCGCCACAGGCCTGCCGGCATCCTAACACTGACGCAACGTCCGCCCGTGACGTCGAGCCAATGAGCTGTTGCTCTGACCTTTAGCCGACCAATCAGAGAGCAGCGGCGGCAGACACAGCTGATCCAGGAGGAGGATTTGGCGCTAGTTTGAGCTCAGTGTGCGGAAGAAGACAGACGGATAGAGACGCGGAGAGGACTTCAAGACGAGAGAAAACACTCATCTCTGAGCTGAGAAGTCGTCTGTTAACTTTTCGTAAAGGTAAATTTAGCACCAAAGCGACAATTTAAGTGAAAAGACGTGAAAATGTTTCGTTTATCGCAACCGGAAGTCCTTTTCTTCGGGGTTGTTTTTTAGTAGTTTGTCGACTGAAACAGCGATGAGCTTCTTTTTCACGTTTTGTGTCGACAAACCTAGAATTCAGAAGGATTACAATGTGAACACTTTATCTTTTAAGTTGAACTTTCATTATGTTAGTGTTTAATTTTGGGTGTTCTGGGGTTTTTACGTAAGTCGCCGCGGTTGGACCTCTGCCGTCTTGGCGCCATTTAACCAAACTAACTTATTGTTTCCTCTGCGGGAACATTTGAATGTAAAGTTAAATATAACTGTTGGCTAAGTATTTACTAACTTTAATATACTTAAAACACTTAACATGTTTAGTTTTAACAGCCATCTTACCGTTTAAAGCTAATCTGGTGTTTAACACGAAGCTAAATTCAGTTCACTGAAACTTTATCTCTCATCTACGTATGTAAGATCAACCAAACGTGGACAGTCGCGTGAGAGTAATGTTTGTACTTAACACCTTTTTTGTGTTTTAAGGTTTATTGTACCTCGTTTGCTGTCGTAGGCAACAAAGCTTGAAGCTGCCATTATCAGATGCTGTGTCATCTACTCTGCTGGGTGTTTCAGTACAAAATGTGATACTTGATTAGTTTCCTGTAACTTATCATTCTGAGTTTACTTCTTCTCAGATGCAAAGAAAGGCTCAACTTTAATGTGAAGAAGAGGTGTTATATGATAAATACATCTGTGTGTCCAGTCACGTGTAGTTATTATGTGACCACAACTTTGTGTGTTTTACAATCTTTGTACGTAAACAGTGCAAGAATCAAATAAAGTACAACAAAATTAAAATATAAATTAATATAATGAACTGTCTGTCCAAAGAATCGGTTGGCAACACTCTGAGGTACATAACTGTTTACCGCCAGTTAATTTACAATAGATTATCTTTTGTGTTTCAGATTAAACACAAGATGCCCAGCACACGCTCTCAGGGTCGGGCTCAGCCCACGCTGTCGTTTCCTCGCCGCAAATCCTGCAGAGTTTCCTCTCGCTCCAAGGCGCCACAGCTGGACAAATCTCCAGCTCCATCACCAACCAAGCCAGAACCCAAACCTCTCGTCCAGATCGGCCCGCTCTCCCCGAGACGCCTCGCCGATCGGCCCACTCCTCTCTCGCCCAGACGTCCTGCAGCCCAGCCGCCATCATCCCCCAGCCTGCAGCCACGGCTTCCACTCAGCCCCCGAAAACGCACAGGTGAGAGATCCCTGGTATTTTACTCCCTTCAGCAGCCTATATAAGCATTACAGAACTTAGTTGGGTTTTAGGTTCTGTAAGTAAACTTTATTGCTTACGTGCTGCTTCACATTCACATAAAACACAATAAATAACACGACAGCAAGAACTTCAGGGACGACAACAACAACAAAGCTATTTAGGTGAGCATTTGGCTAAACGCAAATAATTAATCTGAGAGGATTCAAGTTGTTTGAGTGTTCGTTTTTGAATAGTTTAGGTTATTTGCAGCTTTAGTTACACATTCACTTTCTACCAGCTAACACTCAGCAACAACTGTTCATTCAGCGTATTTCCCAAGATGTCAGACTTTTGCTTTAAGCCTAAATCTGAGTGGATTTGCGACTGAAATCTGCAGCAGAACCCAGCGTGTGTTTCTGTTTCCTTCATTAATAAAAACAACACGTTTCTGGCTGAAATAATGTGAATGTTAGATGGTACCCAGCAGTGAATAATGGAATTATACATGACTTTTCTTTGTGCTGATATCGGCCAGTAACAAAGACCAAAGTGATCTACAAACTGCTTCTTTTGTCCAACCAACAGCTTTTATTAGTCTGTTTTTTCTTTATGAATTCAAGGTCACTGTCTTTAATCCCTTTGGCCTGTTGAACTGTCTCGTGTCACAGAAAGCAGCTCCTCCACATAAACTTCACCTGGAACTTTTCTTCACCTTGTATTTTTTTTCCTCTGAAGGTGACGACAACGGCTGTAACCTCGGCGCCTCCTTTTCTGGGTTCACCGCCGAAGCTGAGCAAGCCGACCCCGGCTTCTCCCCGAAAGCTGGGCTTTGACGAGAACTCGCCGGTCTTAGCTCGCCGACGGCTGGTCCCATCGTCACCACGGCGGGCGCTATCTCCCACCGCCATATCGTCCCAGATGGGACAGGAAACACCTGCTGGAAGCCCCGCCTGCCAAAGCTCTGAGAAGAAGCCGCTGGTCGTCCGACTCTCAGAAAGTAAGCGCTCTTCAGTGTTAAAAATTAAAATGTCTAGTTTTGTTTAGATCTTGTGTGACAAATGTTTGTTAAAGTAAATCGAGCCACGGTGATCTTCGTTAAAGTAACCCTGGATCTGACTTCTTCTCCTCCCAGAGTCGAGGTTTGTGAACGTGAAGCAGGCGCTCCACACCGCCGTCCCCGAGCGGCTCCTTTCCCGGGAGACCGAGCGGGCGTCCATCCGGTCTTTCCTGGAGGAGAAGGCCCTGCAGCGCCTCCCCGGCAGCCTCTACATCTCCGGAGCCCCGGGGACCGGCAAGACGGCCTGCCTCAACTGTGTCCTGCAGGAGATGAAGGTGCTTTTAAAATAGATTTAACTGCCTGATTGGGACACGTTTGTAGTTCACAGTGAAAGAATTTGTAGTCCTGAGAAATTAGATGTGAGTAGAGGCATGACACTGAAATAATCAGGCATTTTTATACTGTAGTATCGCTACTTTTACTCAGAAAAGATCAGACATCTTATTCCAACTCAATCAACTGTACAAGAGGGAGGAAGGAAAGAAGTCTGCTGTAGGTTGCAGGTCTAGTTTTTTATCTCTTTAATCCGACATCAGAATTTTTGGTGACATGAAGAGACATCCGGGGTTATGTTGTTGTGGTCAAGTGTTCCTTGAATGTGTTATAACGGCTTCTTTTGTCCCGTCAGGCCGAGCTGTCCCCGGTACAGACGGTGGTGGTGAACTGCATGAGTCTGCGGAGCTCCCACGCCATCTTCCCACTGCTGGCCGACAAGCTGAGAGCGCCCGGCGGGCAGAACGGACTGCAGAGGTTCCTGACGGCCACAGGGCCCGCTGTGTGAGTAAACTGGCATGGTTACAGAGGAACCAGGGTCCCATAACAGGGGACCAAAATGTGACGCAGGCGGTGGTTGAGGGAATATTCAGCTTCTAAAAGTGGCTGTAGTTTTACCGCCTGTGTGTCGCCGTTTATGCGTCGGAGTTTCATACTTTATTAATATTTGAATTTAGCCCCTTTTTTGCAGTTCTTTTACCTTCTTTACATGACGATGCAGTTTTTCTTTGACGCTTTTAATAAAGTGATTAACAGATTAGATGAATTGCAGAAAAGTAAGCATTTGTAATTATGATAATCAAATAGTTATAAGTCAAACGTATTGAATTATTTGAGCACATTTTGAACTGACAACTTAAGAGGTCTTCATCAGATATCACTGAATCTGACTCTTTGTGTCGTTCCTCCTCAGGCTGCTGGTTCTGGATGAGATGGACCAGCTGGACAGTAAAGCTCAGGACGTCCTCTACACCATCTTTGAATGGCCGTACCTGCCGAAGTCTCGCCTCTGTCTCATCGGTAAGAGACCAACACTGCGATAAAACTGAAGTTTCTGCTGGTAAAGTCTCTGTGCCTGTAAGGGAGGTTTTAGTGGATGAATCTCTGCGGTGATGACATTTTAAAATTGTTTCTCAACAATGCTTTGGGCAGTTATACAGTTTTTCATTTGACTTCTGATGTCAAAATGATTTTCACAGTAATTCTGAGTAAATGGAAGTTTGCAAAACAAGCACGTAGAAGTAGAGAGGGGAAAACAGTGCGGTATTAAGAAGTAGACTGATTTTTAATTAATTTCAGCCCTATACACAATGTACCACACACAAGACATTTAAATATGATAAATGAGAGTTGAATAAAATTTTATTAAATCTGAGTCTTTAGTCTTCGGAGACTTGAAAGAACAACTGTGACGTTGGTTGGTTTTATTCCAGGTATCGCCAACGCTCTGGATCTGACCGATCGCATCCTGCCCAGACTGCAGGCTCGCCCTCAGTGTCGCCCCCTGCTGTTACACTTTCCTCCCTACAGCAGACAGGAGCTCACCGCCATCGTGCAGGACAGACTCGCTCAGGTAAACGCAGAGTGAGATGAAACAATGGCTGGGGGGGGGTGTAAACACCTTGATATTTAAATTTCCAAACTTTAATTATGAGACTTCTGAATTAAGTTGTGTTTATATCGTTCCTCCTCAGGCGTCAGCTGAAGGGATCCTGGACGCCTCGGCGGTTCAGTTCTGTGCCAGGAAAGTGTCGGCGGTTTCAGGAGACGCCAGGAAAGCTCTGGACATCTGCAGGTACAAAATACAGTTCGTCCTCCTTGTTGTCTGTGCTGGTTAACCTTCTGTACTGGGACCTAAATTAACATCAGGAGGGTTTATTTTGTCAATAAATCCTGATTTCTGTGGAACATCTTGATGAAACATTAATGGACACAACTCAAACATTTTCTGTAATTTTTTTTTTTTGTGTTCATCTCTCACTGCTGTTAATCTGCTGTAGATGAGGAGCTGAATTTGTCCAACAGACTGATTTGAATATTGTTTTCAGGAGAGCTGTCGAGGTCGTGGAGTCTGACGAGAGGAAAAAAGCATCAGATCCAAAAGCTGAAACCAAAGGTGAGCGCTGCTGTGACTCTTCCTCCTGTCGGCTCATTTTTGTTCCCGACTCGACGGCACACTAACTCTAACACTATTCCTCCGGTGCGTGCAGGGTCGCGGGTCAGCCTTCCCCAGGTTGCGCGGGTGCTGTCGGAGGTGTACGGCGACCGGATGGCGTCTCAGTGCGGCGGCTCTGATGGAGAGAGTTTCCCCCTGCAGCAGAAGCTGCTGGTCTGCTGCCTGCTGCTGCTCATACGAAGCGGAAAGAGCAAAGAGATCGTCCTCGGAAAGGTGAGTTAATGAGCCTGTTTTAAAATCTGAAATGTCACAATATAAAACACACAAATTTAGGAATATATAAGTGTTCAGAATAAAACCTGGCTGTTCTATCAGTGATTGTCAGTTTCTCGCTGAGCTGCAGGCACAAACAGTTGATCCCCACTGAAGTGGCTGCTGACACTTCCTTTAAATGTCCAGCAGGCGTCACTGCAGCCTGTGTTTATTATAACGATCACGTCTAACTGATTTTGTTTGTGTTTCAGCTCCACGAGGTTTACAGTCGCCTGTGCGCTCAGAGGCAGGTGTCCGCGGTCGGTCAGGGCGAGTGTTTGTCCCTCTGCAGTCTGCTGGAGAGTCGAGGAATCTTCGCTCTGAAGAAAGCCAAAGAGGCTCGTCTCACTAAGGTGCACATCAAACTATTATCACCATTACTGTTGCTCCGCTCGGTACAAACACTGGAAGATGGTTTCACCTCTCATGTATTTAAGGTGTCAAAGGGGAAATTAAACTACAAGTGAAAATAGATCTTTTTGTAATCTGTGTTTCATTGTTGTAACTTCCTGAAGAAATATAGACTGCACTCGTAGCAACACTGAGGTCGAGGCGTCACCCAAGACACAAGTCTCACTAAATGCTGAAGGGTACCAGGTAACGAGGCTGTAATCTGACAGATTGTCTCTTTCTGCAGGTGTTCCTGAAGATCGAGGAGAAGGATGTTGAAAACGCTCTGAAGGATCGAACTCTGCTGGGCAGCATCCTCGCCGCCGGCCTCCCCTCATGATCAGAGATTCGATTTATATTTTTTTATTTTTAATGATTTTTAAGCTCAACATATGAACCAAGATTTTTTTTCATGGTTTGCTTTTTTCCTTCTCATTTTTGCTGAGAATTTGTACAGTTTTTTTTTTTTTTTTTTTTTAAATAATGAAAATGTTTACAAAAAATAGATTTTTAAATCTTTTTCCTGGACTGATGTTGCTGCTCAGTTTTGAATTGTTGAGAAATGTTAGACACACGTCAGTTATGAAATGACAGCATTTGTTTCAGTTTGGAGTTGGAACAGTTTGTTTTTACGCTGTAAATAAACAAATTTACTGACATTTTAATCAGCTTTCCTGGTTGTTTGGCTTTTCAACAGTGCAGAGAAACAAAACACACTCAGGAATACAGTGAACAGCTGTATTTTCTGTATTTATGCAGAATTTTACTGTGTGATTCCTTGTCTTATTCACAATATCGGAATGTGATACATCCCAGGACTGGAGGTTGTACGTTTTTTTTGGTTACCTTAACGCTGGATAAACATGTAAATATCCTTTCTGTGTGCCTGTTAAACACTGAGCAAAACACATTTGCTCTTTTGAAAGATTATTTCCAATAAGTTGAACCATAAATTTGAAATTATCACCAAGACTTGAACCATGAGTCCTGTGGTGGTCCAGAGGAAAATTCTGTAAAATATGAATACACACATTATGCCGAGGCCGGGCCGTCTCTTTTGGTTCATTATTATCTTTATATAGAACCAAATATTTGTCTTTTGCATCCTGTCTTTATACCGCACATGAAGTACTTTGAATTAGCTTGTTGTTGAAAGGTGCTACATCTACAAATAAACTTACCTTGACAGACCAACTGAACACACGACGACCTGCTGTGACGAAAATACTAAAAATTTCCTTGTACATCATTTATTTGATAAACTTTATGTTTAAACAGTTACAGTGCTTTACAATAAAACACTAAAGTAAAAGAATACATTAAACTAAACATTAAAATTAACTGAGAAGCCATAAAATGTAAATTTTACAGCCCTGATCTCCTCCTGCAGGTCCTTCCTGGCTGCAAAGACTCCATCACCTGTTCACCGAGTACTCACGGAGCAGGAAGTGACATGTGGCACTCAAAGGTCTGCCAAATTACTTAGGGCGAAGCCTCTCATGGCTGTGGAAGTATTTAATAACATCTTGATCGTGACAGAGAGAACCTGGACCGGGAACATTGGGGTTAAATGTTGTGTGTTGTGACCACTGAGTCACCAAACGCCCTCGTCTAAGCTGTTTTTAAAACCGCTCAAAGCGCTGACTGTTCACCTGAACGGCCTCTCTGATTGGATTAAGGGGTTAACAGGCTCCCTGCAGTTCAGGCCAGATCCAGGAGTCCTCGCATCTTAAGTCCAGTAATAGAAAGTAACTAAGGACAGTTACTCAAGTACTCTACTTAGGTGCACATTTGAGGTTCTTGATCTTTACTTGAGTCTTTATACTTACACTGTACTACATCTCAGAGAGACGTTCTTCATTTGAAAACTAGTTCATAATTACTTTTCTGATTTTAACAAAACATTTAAGGTTATAAAGTGCGACGTGTTGCTCAAGATTAAACCAGTTTCTAACAGCTCAAACGCTGCGTACCCATGTACTTTTACTCTTACTTACTGTACTTTAGTACATTCAATAATATAACTTTTGTACTTTCATTTAAGTAAGCTTTTGAATGCCGGGCTTTTACTAGGAGGAAAGTATTTTTATACAGTTGTATTGGTACTTTTACTTAAATAAAGGAACTGAATACTTCATCCACCACAGGATGAAGTATTCAAGTATTCTTTTCTCCTGTGCATCTGAACACAAGCACAAACTTTTAATTTGGAAAAATAACATAAAAACAGACGACTCCTCTCAACTCTGACAGGTAAATAATCTGAATTTGGTGAAAATAATCAAATTTAATTCCACGTTCACATAAAATCAGGCCAGTAAGACGAGTGTAAACAATTCAAATATGATTTTATTCACAGCAAAGTGGATGAAAATATATATCGTTGTGAACATTTTCAAATACAAATACAGTGACCAGAAATGTAAACAAGATGAAATATGATGAAATACTCAAATGTATGATACATATATTCATGTGTTTTTGCAATTAAACCACACAAACTTAAAGCTTTAGATACAGCTACCGCAAGTTAAAGTATTTCACAAACTCCTCACATAATAGTTTATATTTTAGTGCCTATTTTTATCTTAAATATAGGATTTCCTACAAGTACACTGTCGAATTAGCTGCTCAACAATATTTTCTCTGTGATTGTCTGTACTTTCTGACTCAAAAATCCAAAATAGACAAAACCTCTCCACAAAGCATCTGCAAACAATCGGAACCACTTCACCTCAGTAAATAATTTAATCTGTAGTATCAACAACTTCTTTCTACCTGAGAGATGTTTCCTGAAAATCCAGACTTTGTGTTCTTGTAAAGGGATTTTAAAATACAAACATGCACAACATCCTTCAACCCCTCTGACGCCCTGTACTTATCGTGTGCAGCCAACCACTGTTCAAACTCACAGAACTTTTAATATTACTATTTTAAATTATAGACATGGTGCCAAATATGTCGGGCTTAATTTGGGCAAAATGAGAAAAGATGCATCAAAACACTAAATACTTTACTCAGTGTCAAAGTGATATACAATACATACTGTCAGACAGGGGGGAGTAACATTATCTGAGTCATTTTAGGTCGTACAAATAACAATCTGAAAATCTGAGATGTTTCGTGCTGAAGATGTTAAAGTCACAAACACTTTGGAAGTTTCAAACAAAAGCAAATAAAAGTGAATTAATAGACACGTAGACGTCCAGTTTGAGACAACGGACATATTTGAATGGTCTATGATCAAATAAAACTGAAATTTCCTTTTTTGAAACGTCGTGTCCTGATTCTTCCAGATGGAAAAACCCTGTAAAGATTTAATTTGACTGAACAATTACACAGGAAGCAGTTCAAACAACATGAGATTTTGAAGGTTGTTATCGATATTTAGTTGATATATTTTTACCATTTTCAAAAGAAAATATTATTTAGTCTTTCCTTAAAAATATTCAATCGTCAGTGTCTTCTTTTCAGGGCAACAAGAACATCATCTGACACTAAAACAAACAGCAGCGACTAAATTTGATTAATAAAACTTCTTTATAGACACTTTGACCCACCAAGCACTTTAAAATAATTTTATATAAACTGTTTCACTTTGAACACTTTCAACGACACATTTAGTGTTGAATCTTGGTTTTTGTTCTTATAAAGTGAGAAAATGTGAGAAAAATTATATAAAGAGTTGACATTTTTTCCCCATATAAGCTGAACTTGTAATATAAACAATAATTGTCACACAAATTGATGTATGTGGTGTTAAAATAAAGCACTGCTAGTTTCAGACTGGACACTAAAAATGATTTGTTTCCCCCGACCAGTGAAACAAAAGAGTCTGAAAAGTGAAACAAATATTAAAAGTAAATAAATAGTTTTGCACATTCAGAGTGAAGAGGTTCAGCCGGTGTTCAATAATCAATAAACATTCTCAGTGAATTTAAATGCATTCAGTTTTAAAAGTACACTCACAAAAAGTACATGTTAAATAAAGTACATCACTAATGTTAGCCCTCAGTTTCAGTCACGGGATGCGACAATGACATCGACACGTATTTACAATCTTTAGTTACATCAAACAAGTTTGAGTGACCTCAAACGTTACCTCGCTGTGACACAATCTGTCAGTTTGATGGAAACAGACGAGATAAATCTAAATCAGGGTTGGGTATCGTTTCAATTTCATCAATTCTGATTCTGCTTATCGAACCCGGTTCGTATTGAATCTGGGTTCCGGTTCCTTCACCACAGATCTCGTCAGCGCTCGGTGACCTTCATCCTCCTTGCTCCTCTTCCCCTTCACGGCTAAAGTGAAAGGAGTCTCTGTCCTAGAGGGGCGTCTCTGGGGACTCGTCTTTCAAAAAAAAAAATATTGAATCATTTGTAGCCATCATTGGTTTCCCTTCAGTATAAAAGGTGAACGTCAGCTCACCTGTGCTTTGTACCTGAGACGTTGCTACTGTTAGCGTTAGCTGGATCTGGGGCGTCATTGTAGCGGAAAGTGAACACACCTCCTTACTGCAGCTGTTGCATTCTGCTGTATCATTCTCTTTTTTTAGTGAAGCTAAGTCAAACTTTGGAGCGTTTGCTGCGGTCCGCCATGGTCCAGGACTGGAAACAGAAGGACTGTTTTGTTGATGTACTGCGTAACAAGTGACGTGACGTTAGGTCATATAAGTGTAGAATGCTCACTGCAGTTCAATCGGGAGCTGAAATATGCAGAAAGTTAAGAACCAAGAAGCAGAATCCAAACAAGCCTTTACGAATCCACGGTTCTTGGAAATTTGGTACCGGTTCAATCTTGGAACCGGTTCTCGATACCCAACCCTAATCTAAATGTCCATTATCAACAAACAGAGCTGCTGAAAATGCAACAAGGCGCTAAAACATGTTCAAATCTATTAAAATGTAAAATATATTGATTGTAAACATTCCCTTTTATCCCCTTTTCCTCCCATCGCTGGAACAGGAAGCTGATTTCAGGTTTCAAGCAGGAAAATGTGATAAAGCTTTACGGGTCTTTTCTTTTCATTTGAAAATATTATTGGTGTAGACCCATTTAAACCCTAAAATAACATTACTTTGTTATTTCTTTACCGTGTTACAAATTACATAGTTCTTTCTAGGAAATAAGTATGTTGTATAAGTAGTATGTATAAGTTTCTTTATTAGAACTGGAAATAAGAAAAGCTGAACTGGGTCAGAGTCCAGTTTGGTCATTTCTGCTGCCTCAAACACTTTGACTTATAAACACACAGCTGCCTTTGTGAAAGAAACTGAAAATCACTTAATGTGTCTGAAAGAGCTAAAATAAAACACAGCCGCGTGTTGGGAGATGTTCATGCTTGTGATCTGGATTTGTTTGTGTTATAAAAGCTTTGAGAGACTTAATTCTCTCGGACGTTTGTTCATCATCAAACAGCTTCTACAGAAAAATATTTCAGTCCCTCGCGTCTCAAACTGTTTTCGGACTGAAGAACAAAACAGTGTCGCTGCTGTCGGGTGGAAAACGCTCATTTAAAAAGTGAAGGAAAGAGTTTCTTTCATTTGTAAACAGTAACAGTCAGATTTAAGCCTGGTTTGATTCAACCTGAGGTCTGTTCACACATGACAGGTAGAAATCTCCTCGGCTCCCTGCAGTCCCACAGGGTCCCGAAATTTGAACAATGTAATTAATTGTAATGTAATGTAATGTTATGTAATGTAAATGTAAAAAAAATATCATCAGAGGCGAGAAGGTTTAAGATAAATATAATTACTGAACCATCTCTCTGCCAGTACTTGATCCCATCTTGTTTAGTGTGTGGTGAATGTGGTAGAATATAAATCACACAGTGCTGTACATGACTCCATTGTAAAAGAGACTGTGTCTCAATGGGACTTTTCTTGTTTAAATAAAGGTTTATATATATACACAGTCAAACAAACTTTAAACTCAACTGAGCGTGAGTGTTTTTTTCTTTCCCTCGACAGCAGCGATTCACTCTCAAAGGACACCAAAGCAACAAGACAACACAGTTCCTGTCATCTCGTTACGTCGTCATAGAAGGACATAATGTGTAATTTCCTGTCAAACAGAACAGAAGAGGGCAGAGTTACTGTATATCAGGTCACCAGGGTTTTAAAAGTAAAAGCCCTGTTTTTGCATAGTTAAAGGGCCTGATGGAGCATTTCCAACTCTTAAACCTGCAATTTGTTTGGCCTCAGGTGCTTATTAGCATTCTTTAGGAGTCGTGTTTGTGTCACCTGAAGAATGTAAGTCTAATATTTTCTATCTTTTAGCTCGGCTTTTTGGTCTTGACCAGGTCCTGAGGGAAATATCTGGCTCTTTAGTTGCTAAATGCTCCACTAGCTTCTGGCTAACTGTGTGTGTCTGCTGTTTGCTGCGGGGTTTTTACAGCTTTGAGCCGTGAGCGGGAAATAAAACAGTTCTGGACAGGACAGATAATGAGCTGAAAACTCTGAAGCTCACTATAAAACTCTGTAAAGCAGAGGGGAGCTGCATTTTCAGCTGATGATTATCTGTAGGTTCATCACTACAAGCAACACCTTTCATATTGTCATTTGATACATTATAAAAATATCGATTATAGTCGCTATAAAGAGACTTGAAGACTAAGATGTGACACAGGCTTTCAAGTAACTTTGTTGTAGTCCCTCATATCTTGCCTTGTATTTACATGAGTTACTATTGTTTCTTAGTTTTATCACGCAAATTTACGACTTAAATCTTACAGAATATCTGAGTTTTTTGTCTTGTAAATTTACGACTTTAATCTTAGAGAATATCCAAGTATATTTCTGGTAAATTTAAAACTTTAATCTTAAGAGTATATCCGAGTTTTTTTTCTTGTAAATTTACGACTTTAATCTTAGAGAATATCTGAGTTTTTTTTCTTGTAAATTTACGACTTTAATCTTAGAGAATATCTGAGTTTTTTTTCTTGTAAATTTACGACTTAATCTTAGAGAATATCCGAGTTTTTTTTCTTGTAAATTTACGACTTCAATCTTAGAGAATATCCGAGTTTTTTTTCTTGTAAATTTACGACTTTAATCTTAGAGAATATCCGAGTTTTTTTGTAAATTTACGACTTCAATCTTAGAGAATATCCAAGTATTTTTCTGTAAATTAAAACTTTAATCTTAGAGAATATCCGAGTTTTTTGTAAATTTAAAACTTTAATCTTAGAGAATATCCGAGTTTTTTTTCTTGTAAATTTACGACTTTAATCTTAGAAATATACTAGTATATTTCTGGTAAATTTAAAACTTTAATCTTAGAGAATATTCAAGTTTTTATTCTTGTGCATTTACCATTTTAATCTCAGATAATATCCATTATCAGTCAATTTTCAAAACAATAGCAAATTTTATAGCAATCGATTAATTGTCAAATTGTTTAAGCTCTAGTTTCATCCGGTGTTTCTTAGTTTAAGTATTTTTTGTATCCTGAACATTGTAGTTCATTGTAGCTCTGCTGCTGACCCTGTTGTGAACACTTCAGGGGCCTGTACCACGAAGCAGGATTTGCCCTGGGTTTTCAGTACCATGACAGTGGTTCACTTCTTACCGGGGTAGATGTTTATGTTATGTAAAACAATTGGCTGATATAATAATTTTCATACATTAATATGGCCAAAAAAATCCAGTTTCAATCAGGCTATAGTTTTCAGCAACCTAACCCCTTTTTCCACAGAAAATTGGGGCTTATGGGTATTGTAGTATTTAGAGCTTTTCAACAAGTTATTGGGAATAAAATGTAAATTGCCAAGGCGGGCAAATCTATATCAGATGACTGTGACATAAGCCTGTTTTATCGTGAAGATATTCACGTTTCTGTAGTTAAATTTAAATCTATTGTGAGAAAAAAAAATTCTGTATCAGCACCTCTGCTCACTTCTTGAATTTATGCTACTCTGCTGTCCAATAAGGAGAGAAGACAGGATGACGGACTGTAACGAGACAACTCGGTTTCTTGTTGTTTTATCTGAACACACTAACAACCTTTGTTCCACCGTCTGATTTTTCCCCTTCAGTAAGGAACCGAGGTTTTCAGGGGGAAGGGGGTGGATCCCGTCTCTACCTCAGCCGGGCGGAGAAGCAGCGCATGTATTCTGTCATCCAGCGGTCTTCCACCACCATCAGCTGCGACCGCCTCATCTTCTCCAGGTCTGCTGACCGAGCCCGCCGACGGTCCAGGTTGGAGCTGCGTTTGTCGGACTCCCGGCGGGTCTGAACGCAGGCGTCAGACATCTTGGTCTGACAGGAGAAACCAGAGGCGGGAGGGAAAGAGAGAGAGAGTGGAGTTGTTTCTGAAAACCACACCGGTGTTTTATTATTAATGTTTGCCGAGTGTTTGGTGACACGGCTCTCTGGTGTCCTGTGAACGAGGTTGAGCTGCTCCGAAAGACTCAAACTGATAGTTGTTCCTTTTTGAAATGCTATTTAAATTACATTACGCAAGAGCATCACAAATACTGAAGGTGGTGCTGGAAAATGGTCAGCTGTGATTTATTTGAGTTAACAGACTAAACCCACTAAAAGTTATTACTCAATGTGTATTTAAAAGTTTCAGTGGGACAAACACTCACGTCATTCGGCGTCCTCCTGACCTCCGTATGTCTCTCGGTCCAGTCCAGTCGGCTGGACGGTCTCTGGTTCTCTTTGGTGCTGATCGGTGGTTGGCTCTTCGCTCTCGGCAGTTTGCGGACGACAGCCGGTTTGTCGTCATGGGAACTGTCCCGGTGTCCCGGCTCAGGCCGAGGGGTGCGGCGGCGGTGACGTCGTCTTGGCGCCGGGTTCACAGGCTCTCCGTCAGAAGACAGCGTGTCGGCAGGACCGTTGTCTGTCGCCGTGTCGTCAGAGGGTCCTTTGCTGTTCGGAGCCGAACCACCGCTGGCTTCATGCACGCCGTTTTCAATAACAGCTGGTTTACAGGAGACACAGAAAATATTTTTTAAAGTAACAATTCTCAATGATTTTCTCTTCGTGGGTTGCTGGTGATTATAACCTGAGTCATGATGATTGTGTCATGCCAATACTTTGTCAGGGTTTACGTAGTTCAGTTCAGGTGGAAATCCCTTGAATTGCTGCTGCATACATGAATTAAACTGATGTGAATTGCTGAGACCAATTTGTGCACCTTCATGTGGAAAAAAAATCATTTTGCAGTGTGAAAACATTAATTTGGACAGGGGCAACTAACAATTATTTTAATTATCGATTAATCTGGTCACCACTTTCTCGATTTATTAGTTAATCATTTGGTCTGTAAGATGTCAAAAAATACTGAAAAATGTTTAAATTAAAGTTCATCCAACTATCTGTCCAAAACAGAAAAAAAAGATTTCAAAATGACTAAAACAATCAATATTTGGAGGGGCTAAAATGTTTCGACCCTTTCATGCAGCCTCATTTCCCTATTTAAAACAAATTTATTAATGTATTTATTACCAATTCTACATATATATATATTTTTTTTTTTAAACGTATGGCCTTTGAATGTTTTTAGTTTTGTGATTAACAGTATTTTAAATTGTGACTTAAACAAAACTCAAAATAGTTGATGATATTATAAATTAATCGTTTCAGCTCTAACTTGAACAAAATAAATGTGGAGAACCATAACGTGATAAGATTATACGAAAAGTTGATATATTATAAAATTGTTGCCCAGCATAAAACATTCTGCCGTTTTGCAAGTTCCAACACAAGGGATTGACATGATATTTTCTTCAATAATCGACTGATTTGAGTCTAACGTGACTTATTCTGATCGCATCTTTTGTCCGACCATCAGTCCAAGAAGCAAAGATAACTGATTTACTATCATAAAGGATAAAGAAAAGCATCACATTATCATTTTTCAGGACCTGAAAACGTTTGGTAAGTTTTTACCTTTCTACTAATCAATCAATCGACAAATTGTTTCAGCTCTAGTTTTAACCGGCATTTCTTTCGTGCCGTGTTAGCAGACAGGTATTTGTCATCGTAGCTCTGCTGCTGACCCTGTTGTGAACACTTCAGGTGTCATATAGACCTGCCCTGAGATAACTTCTGCTATTTAAATAAAACTGAAATAGAAGTTGATTTTCTGAGATAACTGCTGCAGCAGATCACAGCACTGCTCAGAAGATTACAGAGTCTACGGTAACAGGATGTTTGTGCCATGGTGGGTTTCAGCTAGTGGTACAAATATGATAATATAATGCTGGTTTATTATTATGATAAATACATTGTGTATGGACCTTTCTAAATTGTGTGGTGGTGAAATTCAGAACTGTCCCCCAGACACTCTTCTGTCTGAAATGCAGCAATGCGAATGTTAAAAGAGACACAATCAGTCCTTTTTATCCGAGCTCAGAGCCTGAACAGGAGGAAACATTCCCGTTTGATCACTGAACCTTCAGTCTACAAATATTTTTAGCACCGGTGTCTCCTGAGGTAAACAAGCCTTTGGCCCTCATACTGTCAGAGTGATGCGCACACAGGAGCACAAAAAAAGTCCTCCTGGGGGTCTGTTAGATTATCCCAAATACTCCTGGCAGCAATACAGGAACCAGGGGAACCAGTATAGACAGTAGTTTAAATCTCAGTTTTCTCATATCAAACACAAACCCAGGTGAGATTAGTTTCTTTACAGTGCAACCAGATCAACTGGTTCAATGCATATTCAATAAGAGATCCCCCTGACACCTGAACTCAGAGTGATAATGTTAGCAGGGCTGCAGCTAATGATTATTTTAATTATAGATTATTCTGGTTATTACTTTTCTAACTAATTGTTTAGTCTATAAATTGTCAGAATAGTGACATAAGAGTCTAGCAGCTCTGTGAGGCTTCACTTAGGCACAGCGGTGCTTTGAGCTAAATGCTTACATGCTTCCAATTAGTACAATTATTTTGAATATATTTCTTAATGAAAAATTAATAAAATTGTTTAGTTGTTTTCAAGACATTTTGAAGATTTAGATGAAGCTCTAATATTAACAGATAATAACAAATGTCCCTGATTTTTTAATCTGTACAACAGCAGAAGGTTGTGAATCAACATCCCAAAACCCAAAGAAATTCAGGTTACAACAGAGTAACGTAGCAAATCCTCACATCGCAGAAGCTAGACTAGTGATTCTTTGGTATTTTTGCATCAGTAAAATGATTACAGTTTCTCACCTGCGGTCGGAGCAGCGTCTACAACCGTTACCTCTCCAGCTCCCGCCTCGGCCTCTCCGTCCTCAGGAAGTGGTTTCGGTCCGGGGCTGGACGACCTCTGCTTCCCCTCCGAGGACTTCTGCGGTGGGAGGGACAGAGGGGCCACTTTGTTCCTGGTCAGCCTCGGCGTGGACCAGCCACTGGACTCTGAGCCGCTGTCCCAGCCCTCCCAGAACCAGGGGTTGTGGGAATGCTCCATCACCCGCCGGGTCAGACGGTACTTCAGAGAGTCCTCGTAACATTTGGAAAACGTCTCCCATCTGGGATCCCTGAACTTCTTCATGTACTCCGTCCGGATCTTCTTGGTCACCATGGTCTTTGTTATTGTTTGTGTCTATTTCTGGAGGAAAAGCAGAGGAGGAAGTGAAATAATTAATTAAATTTGAGCTGCAAGCAGCACTCAACAGGAATGCCCCACAAGACATGATGAGCAGTGTAGTCTGTTTATTATCACAACCCTGCATCTCAGACAGGAGAGTGCTACAAGTAAAAGTCCTGCTAAAGTAAAATCAGGAAATGTACTTAAAGTAGGGCTGCAACTAACGATTATTTTCATTGTCAATTGTTTTCTAGATTAATCGATTAGTTGTTTGGTCCATAAAATGTCAGAAAATTGTGAAAATGTTGGTCAGTGTTTCCCAAATCTCAAGATGTCGTCCTCAAGATATTCAGTTTACCCTCATAGAGGAGGAAAAAAAGGATTCAGAGAATTTGTCTTAAGAAAATTACTCAAACTGATTATAAAAATAGTTGACAACTAATTGATTAATCGTTGCAGCTCTAACTGAGATTATTAAAAGTAAAAGTACTCTCAGTGCAGTAAACTGTCCCCTGTGATTGTTGTACTGTTATATATTAGACTGCAACAAATGATTATTTTCATTATGGATTAATCTGCTGATTATGTCCTCCACTAATCGATTGATTGTTTGACACCTTCACAATGTTTGTGTCCTTCAAACAGTCCAAACCGCAACATTGTTGACAAAGATTTAAATTATTAAAAAGGAAAAGGAGCAAATCTTCACATTTAAGAAGCTGGAACTATGAAATGTTTTTTTCATCTTCTGTCAATCGACCATTCAGTTAATGAATTAATCATTTCAGCTGCAATGTAGGGCTGGGCAATAAAACAAATGTTCAATGAATCTTTGATTTAATTCATTTGAATCACAAATTAATTAGCGCTAAATTTTTCTATTAAGATTTTTATTTTGTTGAGGAAAAGGGACTGAAAAAGGATTTTATTTAATTTTACTCATGCATGTTTGTTGAAAAAAAGATTTAGTTTTTAATGTTCTACCACAGATTTGTTTGTTGATCGACTGTTTGGCATCAAGTGTTTGTTCTTACCATAAAGAAAAGGTTAAAACTAAAATTAACTTTCACTCAGGAGCCCTAGTTTAACGTATAACAAAACATCATATTTTATAAACTTGTTATAAATTTGTTTTGCGTGCCGAAATCTTAATTTGTAAAGTAACTAGTAACTAAAGTACAATATTTACCTCCTAGATGCAGCAAAGAAAATACTCAAGCAAAGTACCTCAAATGTGTACTTAAATCCGTTACTTGAGTAAATGTACTTACTTGTACTTAGTATCCACCACTGCTGATAATATCCAACCAAATTAACTACTCGGTTGTATTTCTGAGGGGATCTACCTGCAGCCCTTTGGTGACGTTCACTCTGCCAGGTGTGGTTTACCTGTAAGCCCCGCCCACTTCCTTCCACAGCAGATTATATACTCAGAGAGCAGAGGAGGATTGAGGGTTATTATAGTCTTACTATTGACATTACTACTACTGCTAGTACTCACACTACACGACCAATAACACACCGCCAGGAGTCCTCTGCCTACACACGTCTTTCCTTTTATTTTATTATCTACAGTACCTGTTGTCTTCAGTGAAAACAACCTACATTCATTATTCATTTATCTGAGCTGGCCTACATCCTGATCCAAGGACATTATTTCCGGGACATTATTTCAGTTTATTCTCAAACAGCTAACGTTAATTATTATTGCTGATTTATTGGTGTATTTTTTTGAGTGTCTTGTTTTAGGGCTTTCGTTTCGTTAGTCACACCCCGATTTTTCAATCCTATAAACACACGGCAGTGAAAATAATACACACGTCTGCGTCTGTTTAATGTAAAAAATGACATTAAGTGTGTAAATTGGGAGTTTTAAAATTACAGTTATCGTGTGAAAACCGGGCTAAACAGCCATATTCACAGCCGTTACTCTCACACCTGCCCGCTCCGTTAAGACTGTAAACACGGAGAGGTTGTAAAAAAAAAAATAAGGCAAACGGTTGGATATTAAAGTCTGATATGATTTGACTCACCCAGAACTCATTCCAGAGGGATCCGGCCTGCTTTTACACCCAGTCTTTCCCCTTCAGTCCCGCAGTCAGACGCCTGCCATCGTTTCGCTTCTCGGACTCTCTCCGTCTCTGACTGACGGCAAACACCGAGAGCCGTTAGCTGTAATACAACACACAGCTTCCGGCGTAGACTTTCAAAATAAAACTGCAAGGGAACGTCAAACTTATCACCTCCGCATCCTTTATTCCAGAGGTTCTCAAACTGTTTCGCATCAAGGACCCCTAAACTGACACAAATTAGACCACGGACCCCCATTTGATAAGATTTTGTCTGCGAGTCCCCCATTTGACTGGATTTTTGCTTTTAGATCTTTTATTACAGAAAGTGTATGAAACCCATGACCCAAAATGTCGTCCATTCTGTCATTGTGTTACTCGTGGCTGGAATTATAATGAAAATAAATGATTCCCCTTTTTGCTGGGGACCCCCTGGAACCTCCCAAGGGCCCATGGGGATCCCTGGACCCCACTTTGAGAAACACTGCTTTATACAGCCTTTGCTCTGCATAGCAGTTTCAAAAATCAGTTACACTACTTATTAACTTCTATTACTACCTCAAGACTTATAATAATAGCCAGCTATTATCCCGTGACAAAAAGGAGGTGAGACACAACTTGCATGCCAAAGATATGTTATAAAAGTAAAAAGTTCAAATAATCATCAAAAATGTGCGGTGTGTCAAAGTAAGAGTTGTGTCAGCAGTGATTGAATAAGTGACATGTGTGTGTGTGTGTGTGTGTGTGTGTGTGTGTGTGGTGTGTGTGTGTGTGTGTGTGTGTGTGGTCGGTATAAACCAAAAAGAAAGACACAAAACAAATCCATTCAGGAGGAGAGAGAACAAAAAACTGATCAGTCCTGGCTAAATAAACTCTGAAGGTAGAGCTGTGCAGGTGATTGCCCAGTCCAGTTAGCCTCCCTGCCTGCAGCCTCCTGCAGGAGAAGGAAGTAGGAAGGGGAGGGGTCGTAACAATAAAGATACACTTAAAATCCTATGACTTCCAGTGGTGGACAAATTATTCAGTATTACTAATATCAAGAAAATACTCCCCTACAAGTGAAAGTCCTGCATTCAAAACATTTTTAAGTAAACATATTATAATTAAAATCTAAAGTCTCAAGAGTAAAAGTTCTCTAGTGCAGTGAAACATTCCCTGTCAGTTTTACTCTTATATTTAATGTTTCTGAATGAATATTCCTGCTGCATTAATGCGTATACTGCATTTCCCTGCTGCAGATATTTAACATGGAGCTAATTTTAACTCCCATATATCCTGTTGGGTAGTTTAATCCACAGGTTCTCAAACTTTTTCATATCAAGGACGCCTAAACTGACACAAATAAGACCACGGACCCCCATTAGATAAGACTGCCCCAGGATCACCCATGTGATAGGATTTTGGCTGTTAAATGTTTTATTACAGAAAGTCTATGAAACCCATGACCAAAATAGTCATACAATGTGTTACTTATGGATAAAATTATAATGAATATAAGTTATTCCCCTTTTTGCGAGGGATCCCCTGGAACCCGCTCAAGGGCCCCTGGGGGTCAGGTAGACCATAACATCACTACTATCAAATACTGCCTCGAAGACATCCCTGTCTATCAAATCACTAGTCTGCCTCTTTCAGGACACACGGCACTGAGATAATGTGGAATATTTAAACTGTATGTCTACACTTCCTGTACAGGGCTGATGAACTCCTGTGAGCTGGATGGAGCAGAGCAGAAATGTAGTAATAAAGAATGAAATATGATTTCCTCTAAATATGCGGAGATTGGTCTGCGCATGCGTCCTCTGCCTCCATCTGTTCAGTGACAACAACAGGTGACAACAGAAGAATCTGACTTTTACTCATTGAACTGTAAAAGGTGACTTTCTCCTTACATCTTCAAGGACTTTTACAAACTGTTTACTAAAGTCACCTGAGAATCTGGAAGAGCTCTAAAAAAAATAACCCTGATGATGTCACAAGGATGTCACCAGGGTTATCTCAACCAAATGCGTGACTTTTCCCCATAGACTTACATTGTGAAAAGTGGCTGTAAAACGGTGGATACATTTTTATGAGCCACAACCCACCGAGAAAAATGACTTGTTTCACTATCAACATTTGGAAACATAGTAAAAGTAAATTAAATCTTTTTATACCCATTCAAGTTAGCAGAGGGCGAAACCAGAAGATAGCCGGCTTGGTTGGTCTCATGGTGCGTTGGCTCTATGGCCCCCGCCATCATGGGACACAGGGTTAGGAAAACGCTAGTGCGCTTGCTCCTGTGGAGGCTGCACAAAGCAGAAAGATATGTGGAACATATGGGTCATTTTATACCTGGAAGTTGACCTTTTTTTGGCTTCATGCGCCACCGAGCAGGTGAAGGGAGCCCCGGCTCCAACGCCATATCCAGGCCACTTCATACATGGTCTCAACTTGGCACTGAGAACAACACATTTATCACAAAGGAGGAGGAGGACATGGATGTTAAAAGGGGTTGGAGTTAAACAGAGAGGAAGGGAGAGAGGGAGAGACCTAGAGATGCTATTGAGTTGCCTTATGGGAAATGTAGGATTCACTGCTTTTGGAGCTTGATCTTTACAATAGGGTCTAAAAGTCAGGATGTCTCGGCCTCTGCTGCTTCGATTTTGATCGTTCTTCCCAAACCTTATGTAAGTGCAGTCAGTGCAATACTTAAATACCGAATCACTTTCACATTGTTTTACACAGTCTATAATCACATTACAATACTTTTTCGTTATATTTTTGCGCACTTATCATTTGCATCCTCTCAGACTTTGACTTGTTTATTTGCACAGGTTAAAACTCAACAAATGACATTCTACCAACAATGAAAATGAAAGTAGGAAGAAGGTAAGAAGGTTTAATGATTACCACTATTACTTTTATTATACATGAAAATGTATTAATGTACAGTAAAATATAAAAGCGGTTCACAATTTAGAAAATATGTTGTGACTTAAACACAAACATGATTATAAACAGAGATTAAAAGTCTTTTAAAATTTGGGACTTTAAGGAAATTTAATTTTAAGCAATTACATATTATTTTTGGCAAATTATTATTTTCACACATATTCTTCATACTGTCAACAATTGCACATTCTTGTTGTTAATATTTTGCACAGCCTGTCCTATTCTTTTTAAACACTGTACAACTCTTTACAGACATATTTCACATATTTTTATTGTACATTTTTAGATTATATTTTGATTCCTGACTTTTGTGGTACTTTTCTCTAACTGTGTTTACTGTGACCGTTTTGCACCAATATACCAGCGCCCAGTTACTGTTTCAGATTGTGAGATGTTTAGTAAAATGTTTAGACGACCAAGTAACTTAAGACAAAATTGTTTTCAACTGTATTCATACATGGAGTTTGCTCTGTTGTCACTTAAATGACGTATTTTCTATTTTAGCTTATAAAACACTTAAGTATGGCTACTGCCGACAAATACTCATCACCAGTAAAAGTAATACATTTTACTGTGTGGTCTGGCTTGACTGAGTCACATTTCATCCAGTATTATTGGAAACTGATATTTATTAAACTCTCAAACATTTAGTCATTTAGCAGACACTTTTATACAAAGCGACTTACAATTGCTATACGTCAGAGGTCGCACACCTCTGGAGCAACTAGGGGTTAAGTGTCTTGCTCAGGGACACAATGGTGGATGTCTCACAGTGGGAATGTGTTTTATCCATTGCCCCATCACCACCCGAGAACCATTTATATATGAGACACACATGCCTTATTTTTGCTTCAGAGAGGCTTCAGTATTTCCCCTGATGAAGAAGAATGTCGTAGGTTTTGGCAGCAGCAGGTAGAGGATATTAAGATAAATCATGACACTGTTTAGTTTGGCACAAAAGTGCGGTTGGACTTACTTCAGCACTTGAACCTGAGCTCTTTGTTTGTCTTGGAGCTTTAAGAGCTTTATAAAGTTTATTAGGAATCTGGTTTCACTCATGTGTTTGGACTCAGACCAGGAGAGGATTTTAAATCGGCTGACAGCCTGCAGATATATTTGAGGTGATGCTCCTACTGGTTGATATTTTGAATTTCCGTTGCAGCTCACAAGTATTTAGTGTTTCCTCTGGGGTTTCCTAATTCTCAGGATGGAAAAGTCCTCCTCCTTCAAACCAGGAATCTGAGAAAACTGTGAAATGACTGAAAAATAAAATGTAAATGTTTAAACATGCAATCATTCCTATCAGTAATGACAACAGTGAGACAACCAAATTTATCAAAAATGTCAGATGTGAATACAGATGTTTATTACTATTGTCGTGGTATTTCTATAGGAATGCTTGGCGTGTTTTTCTAAGTAACTTTTTATTGTTTTTACATATGTACGAGCTTGTTTTATATCATTCATGCAAGCAAACATTTTTGTAGGTCATTTTTTAATCTGCATAAAAATAAAATGTCACACTATATGCCATGGCAGAGCTAATTTTTTGCACCACTATGCATTGGAGATGACTTCAAATTCCCTCCCAAGTGGCACTATAGCCCTATGTGAACATCATACTTTGCTTATTTGTCTATTAACTGTTTATTAATGTATTGTACTCTGCCATGGATACCATATTCTATTTCAGTTAAATATATATTGTGCATATTTCATACATTTGATTCAGATTTTTTAATCTACTGAAATTCTTTCTTTTCTTTTCTTTCTTTTACTCTTTGCACTACATTCGTCTGTGGTACTTTGTATTAGGATACAGGAACATGTATTGAATATGAATGTCGTTTTAGTCCAGTGAACATAAACAGACAGAGCAACTTATGTAGATAGAGGCGTATGTATAATAGTACTACTACTACTACTTCTACTGATAATAATAATAATAGAATTTAACCATGTTACAAAAGTATGACAGTATTACAGGATCCCACTGGGATAAATAAATAAATAAATCTTAGTCAGATTTGTCACCCACCTTTGTACAATCTTGTGTAAAAGCGTGGTGATGGCAGTGGATGAGACACATGCCTTTGGTGTGAGAGACCCGGGTTCAATGTATATGTATGAATAAATGTAATCTTAGAACCTATCCCAAGTGGACA